ACCAACGAAAGTTCCAGTGAATTATTCTGACTCGACAGAAGAGGTTCCAATCGATTCCGGTGAAGATTTTGGATGCTGCCAACAAAAGTTCTAGTCTGACATTGTCGACGGAACAAGTTACAGCAGACTCCGGTGTACATTTTCGATGCTGCTAACGAAAAATCCAGTGTATTTTTCTGAATTATTGGCGGGTTCTAGTCGATTCAGGTGCAGATTTGTTATGGTGAAAACGAAAGTTCCAGTGGTAAATTCTGAAGTTTTTGACGGAGAAGATTCCAGTCGATTCTGGTGGAGATATTCGATGTTGCAAGCAAAAGTTTCAGTGGATTTAAGCGGAGTTTTCTAACATTCCCCCCAATTCTGCGAAACACGTGACTCTCTTTCACCGGTGATTTGTACGGAGAATTACCTCACCGGTGATAGAGAGTCACGTGAGCTTCCTGTCGTTTTTGGTGGAGATTTTTGATGCTGCCAACGAAAATTCCAGTGGATTTTCCTGAATTCTCAACGGAATGGAATGGAACCTCCTCCGTAGACTTCGCGGAAATCCACTGGAACTTTCGTAGGCAGTATCGAAAATCTTTACCGAAATCGTCCGGAACCTGCCAGCAAACTCATTTAAATTGTCTGGAACTCGGTCTGGAACGATTCTTCTTCTTCTTCATTCCTTTATTTAACGTCGGTCTCTGTTCCGCAATCTAGTGCCAATCACCGACGGACATCGATTGCCATCCATTGACGGCAATCGAATGTGCAAGGAAGGCAGCTTCCACACCTGCGTAGGATATCGCACCCATTCAACACACATGGGCCGGGACCAACGACTTTACTTCCCTTCCGAAGGAAGACGTGACCAGAGATTTTTATGCCTCAGAAAAATCCCACCGACCTCGGCTGGGATTGAACCCAGACCCATTGGGGTGTGAGAAAGCAGTCACGCTTACCACTACACCACCGGTGCCGGCGTCTGGAACGATTGAAGTCTTCGTTTTACCAGCGTGATTTTTTGCCTTTTTTGTAATTTCATAATTTACACTGAAGTAAAAAGTCACTCATCGTGCTTTCCGACAGATGACATAATAAATAGCGCAAATCTTTTTAATCCCGTCTAATCTTTCCTAATCATTTAAATGCATCAAGTAGAGATTACAATGTCTTCTCCCTCGGTTCTGTTGTAGAGAAAATTGTAAAGCTTGAATGAGGGATCCTGTGCATGGAATTGGAAAATTGAGGACCGCATTTCTTAATGTTTCCTGTATCGCAAATGAATGTCTTTGAGTCCAAGATTTTGAAAATTTGTGAAATTTTTTGTCTCAGCCGTTTGATTTATTTTAAGTTAGAAATAAAAAAAAGTCCGGAATTTCGATTATAAGTTACCGAATCATGATGACATGGGATATATAAATCTTTCATGATATTTCACAAGGTTTCCGAAGTCTCGAAATCTTGAAAACTTTCTCAAATCTATTTCTTGATTTTATTTCTATGTCTAAGATCTTAATAATCTGTTTCGGTACTCTTCTCTAGTCTCGGTACTTTCTCTAGCATATAATTAATATTTTTTCAATACACTCTACTAACTACTGATTGTCTACAAATTCTTTGGATTCTCCTTCGAATTCTCCTAAACATTAAGTTGCAATTTTCCTCAGCGTTTTATGAATATTCTCTCAAAACCTCAATGGAATTGATTCTTGAATTACTTTTGAATTCTGCTCATGGAATTTTCCAAATCGATTACCGTTCCCTATTCTAGTCGAAATTCTAGTACTACACTATGTTTGTTTTGATTTGCTATGAAAGTTTGACAGATAAAACGAGGGGTTCGTGGATTTTCCTATGTTTCGAGGGGTGCATCGATTGGCTTGGGACCGAAGACAGTACCAGAACTGAGCCAAAAAGTTTAGCACTTTTCCAAAACAGATGTTGTTTTGATCTGTTTGCCACATTTCTTCAATTTACGCTTGATAATTGCCCAAACTTTGTCGATCGGACGACAATCTGGACAATTTGGTGGATTGATACTTTTTTTCAATCAAATCGACATTATTTTGCTAATACCATTCAATGACATCCCTGCTGTAATGGCAGCTGGCTAAGTCGGGACAGAACTTTAGGACCGTCGTGTGACTAAATGAATGGCAAAATTCTCTTCTGGAGACATTCCTCCTTATAAAATTGTCCATTCATGGTCGTTCCAGTGATGAAAACCTTTGATTTCTTACCACAACTGCAGATGCCTTGCTAAATCATCAACTTGCGAGCGAATTTAAGACAACTTTTAACGCTTGGTAAACTATTTGACCCGGGATTTAGACTGGAAAGTCCATTTTTACGTGAGTTTCATCGTAAGTTTTCAACGTGAGTGTGCAGAATTTTCTCACGTCTCTCGCGCTCCACCTTCGACAACTTGTAAACGTGTAAACGTCTGTATGAATCCGGATGAAATCTTCACCACTGAATAAATAATCCTGTGCGCTCATGGGCGCTTGGAATTCCATTTCGATATGGACTGTATAATGGTTGGTACAATAATGCGCTTCTCCGCAGTAGTTGTAGTAAAATTTACGTTTATTTTCTGTTTTTTTTTTTTATGTATCAACATTTGGTTTAACATTTCAATTGATTAGCCTTTGGCTCTTCATCTTTGTTCTAGTTATTCTAATGTGATGATTGCGTTTAGCGCTAATTTACAGAATACCCTTTATGGGATTGTTTTGGTTTGCGCCTCTCCGCGCGAAGATGACTCATTAAATAAATACATTTTGACTTCTTCTTTTCTACGAGCTGCCATTGCATCCCCTCCGTGAAGGGAAACAATCCGATCACTGCTCGTTCGGTCAACGCTTCTGGACACATTTGCTTCGTGCGCGAACAAATCCCTCCAGATCAAAACGCTGTCAACACTTTCTTGCTACGAAAACTAGAGAAGCTACAGCAATTAAAATGAAGTGGCCAAATACTAACTGGAACAGACTTTAGGAGCTCTATTTTTGATGGCTTTGGAATGCTACTTATAATTCTTCTGAAATTTTCCTCAACATTTCCATCGAGTTAGCCTCAGAATTATAATGGAACTCCATTTAAAATTATCTTGGAATTCTCCTTTGAACAAACTCGAATTTGTTTGAATTCATTTGGATTAAAATTATCATCATATTAATCTAGTCCAAACATCATTGGAGTTCTTTTCTGAATTCTTTTAACAATATCACAGTTTAAATAAGATCAATCTTAATGTATTCTAAGACTGAGATTTCGAAAATTGTTCAGAAGCTAGAATTTTGAAAATGTTGCCAATGATTCCTATAGTATTTTTTATTAATCCCAAAATTTCTTTTATAAAAATGAAATCTTGAAATTTTTCCCAGTGCAAAATTTAAATATCGTCACACCAAAAATTTGACAAAACCATCAAGCTACTATATATTTTTTCCGAGCTCACACAAACTTCATGTTAATCATACAATGAAGCCATTCTCTCCCTAGCTGAGTCGGTAAAAGCTCAGCTACAAAGCAAGACCATGCTGGAGGTGGCTGGATTCGATTCCCGGTCCGGTCTGAGAATTTTTCGGGTTAGAACATTTCTCGAGTTGTGATTGTACTTGCCACACAATTATACTAGTGCAAAAATTGGCGCAGGCATCGAAAGTTCTCAATTAATAACTGTGGAAGTACATCTAGAACACAGAGAGCACGCAACAAGCTAATGTGCGATAAGCAATAATCTTGAAATGCGAAGAAGAAGAATAAGACAATAGTCAACTCCACCAGAAACCCATTAATTTGACCAACTGTTATTCGATTCTCAGACTTCAAGACATGAGGGATTTCAGAAAATACAGTCCTAAACTCCTAAATTGACAACATTTTTTCGAAATAGGATTAGCAAAATCTAAATAAATAATCACCCAAAGCCTTGAATTTGCTACAAAAGAGCATTGCTTACGTAAGAGCGCTAAAATTTATATTCGAGGCATATTTTTATTAGATTAAATCTTAACTGTGATACCGAACAAGTTGAGTACTTAAGAATTCTGTCAGTGTTCTTACTGCAGCGTAGACCGTAATGAAAGACCGAGCGGCCTGCATTCATCAGCACTCATTCATAATTTTCGACCTTTCGCCTCTCCGTATTTTAAGATTCTCCGCATAGTTCAGCAACTCGATCCACACCACACAAACAACACCAGAGAGAAGAGTAGGTTAAACACAGTGTTGTAAGAAACTTGTTTCGCTGGCTTCTTCCTCCTGAAAAAAATAATAATATATTCTTCTCATCCGTCTTGCTTATTGCCGTTCTGCGTCACTCCACTACTGCAGACTCTTCCCATCCTGTTCCCCACAGGGCAAGTACAAGTAAAACACCTGTGTGTATGTAAAGTAGTATACACTCTCTATCACTTTTGATGTATTTTGGAGAGCTACTCCCCAATCGAAAGCACTTTTTTCGTCTTCAGCCGCGCGAACAGTAACTGGAAACCCAAACAATAAGAACACTATAGCTTCCAGGTCCAGCTCTAGCCGTGTGCACCACTCCTTCCAAAATTCAATTGATTTATTCAATTCAATTGGTCTCTTCTTCTTCTTCTTCTCCGTCTCTGCACTTGTTTTTTTTTTTTCCCGTTATGTTTCTTCTGGGGGCCCAGCGTTCGGCTGGCTGCGCTGCAATTAATTCCAACAACCGGACGAGCAAGTGTAATTCTTTCCAACACTCCCTCCGGTGCTGCTTGTCGTTCGGAACGGAAAAAAAAGAACGACGCACCCACGAAGCGCCGCCCAGCTAGCGCTCCATCATCCACCTCCAAAATATGTACGTACACACAATAAATTATTCAATTTCCTCCTTCATTGTGTGTTACACAACGCGACGGACCGCGATAGAGGTACCCAGCAAAACCGTCATCCGAGACAAGATCACTGACACTTTCTGGACGCACTCCACTCGCCCCCGCCCCGCTTCCTTTTCGAGACGAAACCGCAGTTTAGTAGTTAATCACCTGCATTAGTTGTTCCACTCTTGCCACTGCCGGACTGGGCGCTCCACCCCAGCTTTTTTTTTCTCCTCGGAACACGCACTTTGAAAACTTCCACGACCTGCTTCTGCGGGTGGAAGTTCAACCGAAAACACTGCAAAATTTGCGACTGCGGAAATCGAAACCCTATGCACAGGCAAATCGCTAATGGCCACTGAGAAAAACAACTTCTGCTGCCACTGCACAATCATCCATTCCCGGAGCCATATCTTTATCGACGTGACCAAGAAAACTTTTCTTCACTCGCACACACAGTCTACGTTTGTCTCGCGTCGCATCCGCCGTGAGTTGCTCCTACAAAATTATGTTCGCGGATACCCGTTCCGTATCAAGTATCGACCCGACCGACCGAAATAACAGTCCAGAACTCAATGAAGGAATCTGCTCTGCTCTGTGGCAGACGGATGATGGATGATTTTTTGGCCGTTTTTGACAGCTATGTTTAGAATCCACCGCCCGCCGCCGGCGCTTTGATGACGTGTGTGACATTTACGAGCCTGTAGTGTACAATGCTGAAAATGTGTAAAATATGTTGCCGTCGGTGAACAGTGGGATAAAAGGTAAATAATGGACCGTATCAATAAAAAGAGTACTTTACTTTCCCGTGCTTTTCTTACGGGAAAAGTAAAGTAAACGCTTTTATTCATATGACCTGATGTATTGATAATTTCAAAATAAAAATCGTTGATAAAATTAGAAGTTCTCGTCATTCTAGAACCGCGAGAAAAAGTAAATAGAGTCTTATTTATGCTATGCTAGAAATAGCAGAAGTTTATTACTTTATTTACATAAAATCGAGCATAAAATCACTTGTAGAGTCGTCTCAAAACTGCTCGACAATAATATTATTATTAATTAACAACTTCATTCGAGCAGTTAAAGACGTTTACTACCACTCGAACTTTGAAATAAAACATTACTTTGAGATTTTTTTCTTCCAGAACCCCGAGAAAAGTAGCCAACATTTGTGCGTTTCATAAAAAAAATAGAAATTAGTTGATGAGAAAACTGCCTTCTTTTTGTCTTTGACGTGTTCTTCTTCTTTCACGGAAACGACAGTGCAAAAACGATTTCATTATGGGCGACGCAGTCGACTGCCAAAATACAAGAAAATAGATTCCAAATTGTTGTACAAATTCTCGCGTTTCTATACGTTCGCCCGACCAATCAGGTGCTGGTTCGCGTTTGACAGAAAATTAGTTCAAAAATGTCCCACTATATTGTCTCCTCTTACTCTTAGTTTCAAATAAACCTGCTATTCATCGGTGCTGCTATTTTACCCGATGTGAGGAAAGATACCTCGAGCACAGGTAAACAGACGTATCTCTTTGAAAAAGATTTTCTTAAAAACATAGTATCTCAAAACATAGGACCTCAGTAACGACATCTCTTGGGCTTCTCGCGGAAAACAAGCTTGCTCGATAACTCGCAAACAATATTGCATAAAAGTTCTATAGAATGTATAGAAAGGTCAAAGCGATCCGATGCCAGCGCTACGGCGAGTAGTTCGCGGAACTGATAATATTCAAAACACCCGAATAGAAATTGTAATGTAGGAAACATCAGCAGACATCTTCAATACATTAAATTTTAATGTGTATTGCTGTACCCTTAATGCACAGACAAACAGACATAACACACTGAATATTTCTCATTGTAAAACATCGTCGCTAAAATATTACCGCCATCTGTTGAGTACACTGTGGTGGGTAGTACGCTGAACAGATGGCGGTAGTGTGTAAACGTCAAACGCAAGGGAATTGACTATGCGCGCCACAGGTGGCAGTACTACCAACTGAGATACTTTTAAATTGACCGTGCTTGGTCGATGAACATCTTGTGAGTGTTATGTCTGTTTGTCTGTGCTTAATGTATTCAGACTTCAGTGTGACATTCAAATACATAAAAATACATTAGCCTCAAACGTTACATCAGAATCAAACGTCTTGACGATGTAAAATTTGACATCAGAATACAGCCAATGACAACAGAACCTAACGTTACATTAGAATCAAACTTCATCACGATGTAATTTGTTGCACGCATAAAACATCAGAATACATCCAATGACAACAGAACCAAACGTTACATTAGAATCAAACTTCATCATGATGTAATTTGTTGCACGCATAAAACATCAGAATACATCCAATGAGAACAGAACCAAACGTTACATTAGAATCAAAGTTCATCACGATGTAAATTGTTGTCCCTCGGTCCCTCGCCGCATGCAAAGTTTGTTTTGTCCTGAGTCAGCACTACACGGCGAATGAGAACGACCCAAATTTGAGTTTAGTTCACTCATAAATCGCAAAAAGTGCAGGAACTCAGTTTTGAATTAATTTCCCTGTTTTTCCAGGTTTTCCATGTTTTTCCAGGAAAAAATTTCCGAATATAAGAAAAGTAAAGATTGGATTCTGTGGATTTTCTTCAATCCTAATTTTCCGGAAGATTTTTGAAATTTTCCACAGGAAAACATGAGGCAAATCTCGCGTCACTTTTCAAATAGACCAATGTAACAATTGTAAACAAATCGAGTTAAGCGATACAAACTATTGCTCTTCTGTCATTGTATGTGATACAAAAACATCCATCCAAATTTACTTTCATTTATTTAAGATAACCATTGATCAAAAATTGTCCAATGTACAGTTTGAAATGATGGGTACATGTTTGTTACTTCGGTCATTCGGACTGCCTAACATGATTGGTGCTCATTTTCCAAAGGCGGGGTCAATCTAAAGTTAGGTACTATACTCTGAAATCTGTGAAAGGGAATCTAGTATCATGTAGACAAAACGTCCAATGTAACAATCATTGATTATGTCATTGAGAAAAATCGTCCAATGTAACATGTCCGATGTACAACTCGACTTGTCAAAACGTCCTATGTGATTTTTTCTATGTTGTAGCATGAAATTCAAAGTAAAATTGTGATTTTACTGTTTCTTCTGAATTTTCAACGTTATTATATGCTGACTACATTAAAAATAGTAATGCAAAATGTATTGTTTTTAAACAGTTAAAATAATAATCTGTCGAACTTCAACTTCGATTTTCTCAAAATGGTGGATATGTTACATTGGTCTATTTGAAAAGTGACGCGAGAAATCTCGAGGCAAATTTACTCATCGCTGCGTTCCTGCACTTTTTGCGATTTTGAGTACACTGTATTCAAATTTGGGTTGATCACATTGGCCGTGTACACTGAACCAAAACATCCGCAATACTTCGAATGATTATTGCATTGCTCGAGCCCTCAACAATATGCATTCGAATTTCGGATGATTTTCTTATGGTTGATTTCGTCGTCAGATGATGAACATCCATATGACTGTCATCCAAATACAGGATGATTTTCGGTTGAAAATTAGCTATAAAACATACGGCACTCAGTAGACAAACATTTAAGAATAGTGTGACATGCAAGTGCTTTTAATTAGATTTATAATTTGATTAAGTACAATTCCATACTGAATAGTCATAATAAGCCATTCCATCATAAATACAAAAAAAAAATTGTTTTCTACATCCGAAAACATCCTTAAAACGTTTGGTTCTAATGTCAATAGATTGAAATTTTTGACGTCAGACCGACATTAGAATGGCAAAATTTTGTTCCAAAATTTCTGATGTATACACCATGTTACGTTGCTTAAATACAACTAAATCATAATGTTTTCTAATGTTTGACATCAGGCATACATTTGATTTCGATGCTGATGTAGACATCAGAATCAAACGTTAGGCTAATGTAAATTTCTATTCGGGAACCGTTAAATGCGTGAACGAAGATACACAATGAAGAGGTACGTCTGTTTGTCTGTGCCTCGAGATACCATTGATCAAGTTTTTTTGTCAAAATATTTAGTGGCATAAATACAGAACATAAAAGTACATTTTCTCACTACACTGGAAAATCTCAAACAATCACTACACGCTCAAAAAAAAACAGGCTATTTTGCTATGCCCATTTTGATTTGATTTCAATGGCACAAACTTTCATGACAAAGCAAGCCCGAGCACAAGCCATAAAATAAATTTCGTGTGCACACAGGACAGGGCTCCATCAATTTCCTCGGCTTCTTGTGCGCTAACTAAGCTAGTTCCACATCAATGACATTTATATAAGGTCTGGGCCAACAGGCAGCTTGCTGGTGTTAGAAGCAAAAATGTTGTAAACATTGCTGAACATCTCCGAACAGATAGAAATACGTCACTGCCAACATACTGAGAACAGATAGAAATACGTCACTGCTAACAGCTGTTTCGTGTAAAAAGATAAACATTGCAATAAAATACGAACACCACTAAACATTTGCACATTTCACTAACACCAATAAGCCCTTTGGCCCAGACCTTATATAAACGTCATTGGTTCCACATCACCCCCTCCTCTAATTGTCACTGTTGAGGACAAACTCGTGCGTGATTTCGACGACTATACTGCTACGGTTTCTTATGACTTCCGTAAAGCTGACCACCGTAGCATCATAGATGTATTGTCTAGCATGGTATGGGAGAACATCCTTGATCCAGATGACGTTGAGGCTGCAGCGCAAACCTTTTCACATGTCTTGGCATATGTCATTGACAGACACGTCCCGAAAAGAACTCACCACAAAGTGTTGCACCCTCCCTGGCAGACGAGAGAGCTATGTACATAGGTTGAAGTCAATCAAGAGAGCAGCATTGAGAAGATTTACGAAGTATCGCACGCTTCCTTTGAAACTACATTATGTGAGGCTGAATCACTTGTACCAGCGAGTCAGTCGTGAATGCTTTTCAAGTTTCCAACGAGGCATCCAGCGCAAACTTAAGCTACACCCGAAATCCTTTTGGAACTACGTGAACGAGCAACGCAGGGAATCCGGCCTCCCATCGTCTATGGAATTCAACGGAGAAGTTGCTGCCACTGTTCAGGATATATGCCACCTTTTTTCCGAAAAGTTTGACAGTGTATTCACTAATGAGACACTAACTGACGACTATATTAACCTGGCTGCCAGGAACGTTCCAGTAAACGATCAAACGCTGGGTGCAATTGATGTTAATGCAGAAATGAAAAGGCTGCGACTCTGCTCAAGTCATCCTTCAATCCTGGACCTGATGGAGTTCCATCTGTATTTTTGAAGAGACGTATTGCTAGCTTGTTAATTCCGCTTCTTCGCCTGTTCCGAATGTCTCTCTCAGGTGGCATATTTCCATATTGCTGGAAATTTGCGCACATGTTTCCCGTCCACAAAAAAGGAAAGAAACGAGCTGTGGATAACTATCGAGGAATTACATCGTTAAGTGTCGTTTCGAAGCTATTGGAGCTAGTGATTATGAAACCGTTGCTGTCCCATTGCAAGCAGTATTTGAGTGCTGATCAACATGGGTTTACTGTCGGCCGCTCTACAACTACCAATCTGCTGTGTCTCACATCGTATATAACCGCAAGCATGTCGGATCGGGTTCAAACGGACGTTATTTATTCAGACCTATCAGCAGCATTCGACAAGTTGAACCATGCTATTGCGATTGCTAAACTCGGCAGGCTCGGTGTATGCGGTAATCTTCTGAGTTGGTTTCGATCATATCTTACCGGTCGGCAACTAAAAAAGTTGCCATAGGAGATTGCAGATCAGCTAGCTTCTTCGCCACATCAGGTATACCTCAGGGAAGCCACATGGGACCGTTAATTTTTATACTGTACTTCAACGACGAGCATCTGGTCATCGAAGCTCCTCGGTTATCATATGCAGATGACCTCAAAATCTTCCTACGAATCTGCTCCATTGCTGACTGTCGCTTTCTTCAACGTCAACTGAATATATTCGCTAGTTGGTGCAGGTTAAATGGTAGTGAACCCAGCCAAATGCTCCGCTATTACGTTCTCACGAAAACAACAACCGATAATATTTAGCTATGACCTGCTTGGCTCGACAATCGAACGCATGAATCAGGTGAAAGACTTGGGTGTGATCCGAGGTGTGATCTTGGATTCGCAGCTTTCATTCAAGCAACACATTGCGTATGTTGTTGATAAGGCGTCAAGATATCTACTGTCTAAAATCCCTCTATTGTTCGCTTGTTCGATCGACGCTTGAGTATTGTTCAGCGGTTTGGAACCCAAACTACAACAACGGTGCCGAGAGAATTGAATCTGTTCAACGTCGCTTTCTTCGTTTTGCGTTGCGTAGATTGTCTTAGAATGATCCGTTTCGATTACCCAGTTACGAAAGCCGTTGTCAACTTATCGACCTAGAAGAGACACAAGCAGAGCCCTAACCGTGGCCGATATCCTACAAGGAAGGACAGATTGTGAGGCTATCCTGAGGCAAATTGACCTGAATGTTCAACCCCGACCGCTTCGTAATAACCTTATGCTAAGACTGCCTCTACGTCGCACAAATTATGGAGCGTACGGTGCGATTTGCGGACTGCAGAGAACATTCAACAGAGTTGCATCTGTTTTCGACTTTCATCTCTCCCGTGGTGCGCTTCGTTGAAAGTTGTCTTCTGTTTTTCGCCGGCAGGAATAACTGACTATAAGATATACGTTTTTTATGTTATGACCATGCTTGAATATATTTGTTTTATCATAGTTGATAAGGTTAAAATCATTGGGGCTTCATCCAGCCTGTTGATGTAAAACAACCATAAACAATAAATGCAAGCGATCCCGAAATCATTGCCAATTACTATACTCACCCTGTACTATCTACTGGAGAAGCGAGTTCTTCGACTTTTCGAAGCAGATTTAATACTGCATATAGCACACGACGTGACGTTCTCCAAGTAGGTACGACCCGCAAACAGTTGCCTATCCACGGAAACTCGGAAGCCGCCCGTTTCGGGTGGCCTTCGTGTTCCAGGGTATTTACGGACTGATGGCCAATGTGTCAATCTATGCGGTTCAACCGATTCCTCGACGAAGAACCACCTTTCGATGGGGTGCTGTTTCACAATTGGTACGCTTGTGCGCACTTGGTTGCGATTCAGGAGCGGGGAATCTATAAATCGATCGCATCCGTTCTGCCGGAAGAAGCTGTTTTATAACATTTGAAAGAACTTTGAATTCGAATAAATATCTTTACTATGGCTTAGCATAATTTAGAACGTACCATATTTTTGTCTAACGAGTAACCGTGGTTTTAGCGACAGGGAGTAATTTTCCAGGATTTTGAATTTCTTTCTGCAGCCGAAATTATCAACATAATTTGTCTGTTTTAATTCACGAATAAATCACTCAGAACTCTTCCCAGGATTTCTTAGTAGCGTTTTCCAGATTGTCTCCTTTTAAATAAACATGATATTTTCTTATAACAGTTCCAAAATTATCTGCAGAATACTACACTTTACTTATGCTGGGCCGACATCCTTCAGGTCCCTGGCTCCTTGCCACCAGTTTCCCGTGCGTCCCACACTTCCTAGATCTTGCTCAACTTGGTCTAAGCACCTAGCTCACTGCGTTCCTCTGCGTACTGTACCTACCGGAAGCACCATTTTTGCGGGATTTGTTGCCCTGGTTCTAGGGTACGTAGAATAACGCCATTACGGCTTGTAGGATTTTATCATTGGAAGGAGATTCTTCTTGCTCTCGTGGATCACGTCTTGATCAAGTTTTACGAGGTGGATACCCCACTTCCTATAAAATGGTTGTACCCTGCAACAATGAGTGGATCTAATTATAAACAAACCAATCGCACCAAAATGAACATACATGCATAAATTTTAGATCCTCTTCCTGCATCTAACAAAAAAAATCCTGTTTCATATTTGCGAATAATAGCATTTTAGCTGCAAGGTTGCTTTTACCTTCATTCCTATTCCAACTTTAACCCCTATTATTCTACAGTGATATTCCACAAAAGAAACGCTAAAACCAGTTACATTTTGTAGCGTATTTTATTGAAAAATACTTTTTTGTTGTTAGTTTAAGATCCTGCACATCCTCAATATGTAGTCTGGGGACGAATGGTTCACACAGACCCGTACATCGCCATGAGAGTTGACTTGTCGTTTCAACCCCGGACGAGTAGATACGAGCCCCTCAGCAAAAAGACGTAAACATTCACCCACCGAAGTAGATATTAATGGTGCAGTGCAACTGACTCGTTTCGAGAATAACCAGCTTAATCGAACAGACCGAAGCCCATATCGTCGTCCTCGGATTCGGTATCTTCCTTCTTTTCCTCCTTGGCAGCGGCGGCCGGGGCAGCAGCAGCCGAGACAGTTGGGGCGGCAACGGCAGCGAACTTGCTCGGATCCTTGATGAACTCCTTGACGGTTTCGGCTTCCTTGAACTCAACCTCGGTGACGGCAGCGATGGCCAACAGGTTGCGGAATCCGTTGGCAATGCTGTGCGGCACGGAAGCCAGAGTTGGGTATCCGATCTCGAGCGAGATGGCAGCCAAGTTGGCAACTCCAGCCTGGAACTTGGCGCGGAGGTCTTCCGGCTTGATGTCCAGGATGTCCGGGGAGAAGATCGAACCCGAATCGTACACCTGCTGGATTTGCAGACCGTACGAGAACGGAGAGATGTTCAACATGTTGAGCAGAGTGGCTTCGGAAGCACCGACTTTGTCGCCCGGCTTCAGAATGGGCACGTCGTTGATGATTTCAATCGTACCCTTGGAAATCTTGGTCGGGATGGACAAAGCCTGGAAGAAAGAGGTCTTCTCGGGTCCAAGACCGGTGTTCTGGGCCGGAATGACGACCTCCAGCGGAGCGATGGCACCGGCACGAGCCGGAGCACGAACCTTGCTCTCCATCAGCTTGTCGCGAACATCGACCAGATCGCCCTTGGTGAACACGAAGCCAACGTTACCCCTGATGTGCGGCAGCAGCTTCTCAAGGTGCAAGTTCTCCTCAAGATGACCACGGATGGCCTTTCGCATCATGGTGTTCTTACCCATCAGGACGACGGCTGTACCACGCAGCGAGATACGGATGGACTGCATCTGGCGCGATCCGACGTTGTCGGCACCGACGATGAAGCACTTGGGGAACTCATCGAGCAGTTGCTGCAAGTAAATGAAAATGCATTTAGAGAGTGCGAGAAAGCATCCGGCAAACAATTGAGGTTAGGTTAAAACTTGGCATGGAGTCAGACTTGAGGAAATGTTTAACCACTTCCGAATACCGAACACTTCCTGGGTTCAGCTTTGTTCAAGCGAGGAAGCCGAATATTCGAATTCTTTGCAAGTTTTCATCATAATTATGCCCAAAGCTCTCCCGTATTGTAAAACGTTCAAAACTCGGTACTTACCACGATCTTTACGAAATAACCTGCTTTCCACGAAGCTTTGTCCTCCCTACCCATCTTGCGTGCTAAATAGGGACTTCCAGAAGAAATTTAAGAACTAAAATGAAACATAATCACTCATTAGTCGATATTCGAGCTGGGTTTAAAACAAAAAACTTTTTCCACCATCTTGAATGTGTGAAAAACACGTGCAATGCCGAGACGCAGAACGCATATCGCATTTCCCGCGATAATAGGGATAATTCAACAGATTTCCAACAATTCTGCAGCGAATGAGGTTTTAAAACATATTTCCACAACCATACATAAGACAATCAAAGGATTTTGGTGCAATTTAGCGAAGAAATTCAACTTACCAAAGCGCAGACAACTTGCTTGCTTCAGCGTATGTAAACGTAATGAACGAGTGGAAGGTTTTTTTCGCTGACACCATCAAGTGCGGAGAGTGTGGAGACTATTTTTGACATTTGCTCAAAGCGGTCCACTAGAAAATCGATGGTTGTTTGTGTAGAGATTACAAAAAATAGGGCAGGGGTTTCGTATAAAGCTACCCGCATAAGCACGAACCATAAATTGACCTTACCTAAAATGGTTAAAAAAATTTATAATCCCTGCTAAACTTCAACTGAAATGGTTATGGAACTTTACATGAACGTTTAATGATAAAGTTTTAACCTTAAGTATTATAATTTTTTGGAAGTGGACCTTACAAATAATGGGTTGTTAAGAACCATTACCATTCAAAATTCTTGTTTTCTCCATACATTTTCGGAAAGAAAACTATACTAAAACCTTTTAACTTATGGTTTGAGAACATTAATGGTAATGGTTATGGTAACCAGTAAGGTCCATGAATGGTTTTGTAACATCGATCAACTTTATGTGGAATATATCGCGAATTGGTTGCCTGTAAATTACTGATTACCAATTCACGATATATTTCACGTAAAGTTGAGCGATAATACAAAACCATTAATGGACCTTACTGACTACTATAACCATAACCATTAATGTTCTCAAACCATAAGTAAAAACGTTCTTATATAGTTCTCTTTCCGAAAATGTATGGAGAAAACAAGAATTTGCAATGGTAATGGTTCTTAACAACCCATTATTTGTAAGGTCCGCTTCCAAAAAACCATAATACATAAGGTTAAAACTTTATCACACAAACGTTCATGTAAAGTTCCCTAACCATTTCAGTTGAAGTTTAGCAAGGATTATAAACAATTTATAACCGTTATCGGTAAGGTCATGTGATGGTTTGCGTTTATGCGGGTAAGAGAAGAGGAGACTAAAGAGCCTGAATTTATAAAGAGGCGACATCTTATCCATTTGACAGGTCTTCTGCTCGATTGGAATGACTTTTCCTATGACTTTGACAGAGAATCGATTGTTCCAATTCTGACATGTCGTCTATTTGTAAATTCCAGCTCTTTAGAGGAGACAATAAATAATTATTGATGAATTCTCGATTACTTTTTCAAAGGGACGTATCAGCTTTTGTAAACAATGCATTTCGACAATGAGCATGCATAAGGGCGAATACGCGATGATCGATTCTCTTCATCGATTTCCTCTTTGCATTGCTACAGCTAAGCGAAACAATTTTCTAGAATTTGTTCAATGCAGAGTAGTAACAACAATCAATACGAAACTAACGATTTTAAATTGGCTCACTACTTGACTAGCCTATTGGTCCCAAGCAAACGATTAACGTACCCCATTCTAGTCGAAATTCTAGTACTACACAATGTTTGTTTTGATTCGCTATGAAAGTTTGACAGATAAAATGAGGGGTTATTGGTTTTTCTTATGTTTCGAGGGGTGAATCGATTAGCTTGGGACCGAAGAGAGTACCAGAGCTGAGCCAAAAAGTTGAGCACGTTATTTCGGGACCTTCTAGTCTTAGAGTTACCTCTATGCTAATAGGCTAGTCAAGTAGTGAGCCAATTTTAAATCGTTAGTGTCCACTGGTATTATACTTTTCCTCCGCTTCATTTTGACTATAGATACTATAGATTCCATTCCCCGGTTCATGAGTTGATGGGTCGATAGGTAGGGTCCAGGTGTGGGAGCTGCTTCCCTGGCGTCGATAGCATTGGTGCTCAGCACGGAAAACAAGATCGACGGAAAACAAATCAAGGGAGAAAAAATCGAGTATTTATTCGCTTCGATCTATATACAAGGCCTTAGGGGCTGTCCATAAACTACGTAGACAGTTTAGGGGGGGGGGGGTTGACAATTATCCACGGTCCATACAAATTTTAAAATTTTTGTATGGGAGATTGTCTACGCAGGGGGAGGGGGGGGTCAATAATCCCAAAAAACTGTCTACGTAGTTTATGAACAGGCCCTTAGCTGTTTTGAAGAGAATATTTTTAATAATCAGCTTTCGAAGCCATTACCCTCATAATCATTTATCATTTCTCACAAAATATTACGGATATGCCATAAATGTTTGGAGTTCCACGCTGGCACGAGGACGATGATCAGCCACCCCTAATATGGAGAACAGGCGCTCGGAAAGGCTACACCGCCCCTCCCTATCGGCATATGGCCAAAGTCCTACCGGAGTTGGTAGCCCGATCTTTCCTATGGTTACAAGAGCCTATTTTATACCTGCAGGTACGCGAAGTACCAATGATGTCCAACATGTACCGAAGTACCAATGATGCGCATTGTCCAACCATTTACCTGCCTGCGATTGTGGTGAACGTGTTTTAAATATGGCGTCTCGGACAAACATTGAAATGTAGCTTCTACGAGCTGTCGCGTCGGTTCGTCGGTGTTATACCCCGTTCACATTACAGCCTATATCACGTAATATAGGCTGTCTTGCAATGAGCAGCTGTCTTGCAATGAGTTTTCACTGGAAATCCCATGTATGAGTGCTCATTGCAAGACAGCCTATATTACATGATATAAGCCGTAGTCTGTCCGGGGTATTAACCAGCTTGCGGAACATTTCGGAATCAGCAAAACACATCCGAAAAAGAAACCTCTATGATAGGGTGCCTGCAATATTCGATATATTTTGCCCTTGAATTGAATACTTTAGCCAATTATGCATGTAGGTATAAGTTAATGTGGGTTAATTTAAATGCAACGCTTTTGGGTCAATCATCCTCCGTCAACTATCAAAAATCTATTGCGATGCCAGCGTGTACCGCTCATACTTGCGTTCCTCATAGTGTCCGGTGGTGCGTTGATGCGCCCGCAAGGCCGTGCCCTGGATGAAGCGTTCGTTACAGATACCGCACACGTACGGTTTCTCGCCCGTGTGGCGCCGGATGTGCAGCGTCAGATCGTTCGGCTGGGCAAACGCACGATCACAATAGGTGCATTTGTATGGCCTGCGAATAAAATTCCGTGTCAAGTTTGTTTTCTCAACAACGATAATCTAAACAGAAGGATAGGGGATTACTTTTCTCCGGTGTGTACCCTTCGGTGGAGAACCAGCCGGCAAGATCTTGAGAAACCTGCAAGTGGGAAGCATGGGTAACAATGTTGAACGTTGCAAAATCAAATTGAAAGCTCACTTTTTCCGCACACTTCGCAACTGAATGGCTTTTCTCCGGTGTGAGTCCTCCGATGGCTCTGCATATCCAGTGTTCGAGGAAATCCCTGCATAGAACAATATCCACATTAGAAAACTTTGGTTTTGGTGCTTTGCCGATAATAATACCTTTCCACAAATGTCACACTTGTACGGCCGCTCTCCGGTATGTCTCCGCATGTGCACGGTATAGTTGAACGAGGTTGTGAAACTCTTACCGCACAGCACGCAGAGATGGGTCGGCTCTTTAACATCGTCCGGACCTCGCGTGTGGATCTTAATGTGCGATCGAAGGTTGTCCTTCCGATTGAACTTCTTCTGGCAATAGGGACATTCGAACTTCTTCTCCGCCGGATCGTGCACCCTGTAGTGACGCTGTAGATGTTCGTTCCGGGCGAACCCACGATGACACACGTCGCAGAAGAACTTGCTCTCCTTCTGGTCGTGCTTTTGCTTGGTATGCTTGCTTAGACTGTTCTGCCACATGAACCGTTCGTTGCAGAAACTGCAGAAGAATTTCTTGTGCTGGTTTTCACACTGCAGCTTCAGATGACGCACAAGCAGTTCGTTGCTTGGGAATCCACGCGAACAGTGCATACAGCTTAACATTTGCTCCGTCTGATGTTGGCTTTGAGCATGCTCCAGTATCTTCTTAATACGTGGAAAATTCTGATTGCACACTACACAGGTGTGCTCGCGCCGAATGATACCTTCCATCGGCATGTCACCTTCCTCCGGTTCCGAATCCGAATCGCTAAGACTCAACTCTTCCCCGTCCGGTTCAATTATCATGTACAAACGATTCACATTCCAGGCGCAAATCTTTTGCACCAAATAATCCACGTAATTATCGACGATGTATCCCTCCTCGAATAGATACGGCTTCGTACGGATATTTACTTCGGTAAAGCTTTCCGGATTCATGTGATCTCGTAAATGATTTCGGAGCTGTGCTATTTTGTCGAACGTGGCATCACAGATGCGGCAGATGGCTCTCATTTTATCGTCAGCTTCATCCGCTGAATCATCCTTGGCTTTTTCGTTTTCCCTGAAAAAAAAATTTGGTCACCATCATCATTCCACCCACATAAGATCAACCTTAGCTTACTCCACTCCCACTCCGTGCAGTTTCATGTGCCGTTTCAGATGATAGAATCGGCCAAAGGTTCGACTGCAGAACGGACACTGCTTCTGTTTCATCGATTCCGCCAGTTCCGGTTTTTTGAATATGTCTTCCTTGCTATCGCCTTCGTCCTCATCATCATCGTCACCGTTGTCCCTAGTCTGGGTTGATCGCTTCACTTCCCTTTCCTTTTCCTCTACAATCTGCTGCAGTTGGGATTCCATCAGCACGCCATCCTTGACGTGCATCTTCAAATGGGCCTGCAGATTATCCTTTCGGTTGAACTTTTTATGACAAACGTTGCACTCGAACTGTTTGCTCGAATCGTGCATCGTCATGTGACGATTCAGATGCGTCTTGCGGTTGAATGCCCTATCACACAGATCGCAGCGGAATGGTCGGTCAGAATCTTCATCGTCCACTTTCCTGCTCAAAATAAAACGTAATATTGATATAAAAATAACTCACTCAACCCCAAATCCGACCAAGCCTTACTTCTCCGGCAGCAGTTGCATCGCCGGGTGGTCCTCCTCCATGTGAACCTTATAGAACTGATAGGCCCCCGCAGCGAACTTTTTGTTGCAATGCTCACACTGGATGTTGATTTCGTGACTCAACATGTGCTGCTTCAAACGGAACGCTCTGAGGAACTTCTTACCGCAGATATGACACTCCTTGGGACCCTTCGGCTCAGTCTCATCCTCCTTATCGCCCTTCTCCGATTGCTTCCGCTCGGGTGTTTCCACCGGAAACGACTGCATTACTTCCTCGATCGCTAACGGGGTCATAGTGTGCGTTTTTAAATGAGCCCGGATATGATCCCTTCGGACGAACTTTTTGTGACACTTTGGACATTCCAATTTCTTCTCTGCTGGATCGTGGGTCTTCATGTGCCGATAGAGATGCTCCCGCCGTGTGAATCCAGTGTTGCACAGTTCACAGATAAATTCCGGACTGCTCAAATGGCACCGCATATGGCGAGTCAAATGGTACTTCTTTGCAAATTCCTTCGAACAAACCGGGCAATTAACCGATGCACCCGTATCAAGCGGAATACCCGCTAGCAGTTTCTCCATCTCAGCTTTACCTTCCTCAGATATTGCATCGAATTTCGGCTTGCTGTTCTCCTCATCATCCGAGCTACTGCCATCGCTACTGCCCATGTCCCGATCGCTGAAATCATCGAACCCAGTCGGATCCACATCCGCCTCCATATACTCACCGTCGTCTTCAACCGTCAAAACCGCAATCGCGTGCACCGGTGGAGCAGGTTGCTGTTCGCTTTGCTCCTGCAGCGGATCCAACTCCCCAAAGCCAAACTCCTGCTTAATATCAATCATCTCCACCTTCACTGCCACACCTCCTTCAACATCATCTCGTTCGCCGGTGGGCTTGACTTTTCGACGGGAAATGTACTCCCGCAGCAGGGAATCACTTTCTTCGTAGCGCTTTCGGAACTCGTACGCTGCCGTAACATCCGACACACATTTCCTACATAACCGACTCGGCATCCCATCGTTTTCGTTGATCTAAAACAACACAAGTGAGTAAAAAAAAAGTTATCGACTCAACAGTGAACTGCCCGCCCATATCTACCTGATTCTGAATGCAGCTGGCTATCATCTCCTGCAATGGGACCCCATTGCTGCCCATCGAATCGAAAATAACCTGCGACAGTCTGTCCTCCTTTCGGCAGGAGCGACAGATCCTGGCCAAATCGTATTCACTACTGGGATCCATTTTGTTTTGACTTTCCGCTTCCAGCAACTTTCACTTCACTACACCCGTTTGTTTTACGTTAAATCCATAGTTCTAAGGAAGATTGCACAATTTCTCGGAGTCGTTCAAAACTTCCGTTGTCTTACGATTACATTTTTCACACAATTTTCGGGAAAAACAAATTTGCAAACAAATTTTTCACTTTTCAGACAGCTTTTCCTTCTTTTGACATTTTCGATTCCGATGGCTTGGTTTTGCTCGGCCCACTGAAAGTTCAATGACGACAGTGGAACGATGTTTACTAGGGTGGGTCATGTTTGTATACATATTAAGGTGGATTCATGAATTGCCCGAGGAATTGGGTTCTTTAAGGGTATTGAGGTAAATGCATATTCATAATCTGCATTAAAAATGGAACCCAAACCCAAAATTTGATCAATTTTGGTACATTGGAACTATTTTAAATAAGTACGATTACATTAGCAAAAATCACCTTATTAGCGCCCCTCGGTGTCACTTTGTATGGGAGCGAGCTGTCAGTTTGTTAGTTTAGTGTCAAACAGTGAAGTTATTTTTATTTTTTTTTATATCTTTATTAAGAAACGTGAAGTTATTATTTTGCTTTAAATATTGATTTAAAAATCAAGATGAATGTATGTGGGTTCGAAAAAAATACCGCTGTGCTCAGAAAACGAAGCTCTTTCGGATGATGTATAAAAAACAATACATTTTTTCGAGGAGGGTGACACATCTAAATCTCAATTCTAGATGCTCAAAAAATCTCACACTAGAGAATAAATCTTCGAAAAATCTTCTTTCATTTGTCGCATCTACTTGCATCGCGCATCATCTTTTTGCAGGAAATCTTTAAAATCGTGATAAATCTTCTTTCTATCTACTCAGCGTACGCGCAGCTAGCCACAGCAAAACACAATATTTCCTGCATCGTAGATAGAGTCGTTCCCCTCGCATTTTTCAAAATAAAAGAACTCAATTGCCGCAAAAACTGCTGCCCGATGTCACTTGAAAAATTATGATTGTGAAAAGGTGCGAAAAAATAAATACATGAAATTCGGCATCAAAATACAATTTTCTTAGAGCAACCGTAACGGTCGTTGTCATTTGCGCGACTATTTTAACAGCGCACACCACTCTCATTTTAGTTTAGTCACTCTTCTCCACACCGGTCGCTGCCATCGCGGTTATCAATTTACTTGCCGTAGTCCTTACCGGTAGTGAGCATTTTGACAACCAAGGCATTTGAACGTCGTCAGTATGAGATTTGGCATGATCAATATGGACAACTATTCGCTTTGTTTTTTTGATTCGAGCGACGGCGACCTATCCAGCATTTTACGAGTGCTTATGGCCGCCACAATCTGGCCGAGTTTTTGGTAGGGAACATATGATTTGACGTTTGGGTTGTGTCGTTTGACGTGTAAACGTTCAAATTTGATCGTTTACACGTCAAACGACACAAGCCAAACTTCAAATCTTATATTCCCTACCGAAAACTCAGCCAGATTGTGGCGGCCATAAGTGATCGTAAAATACTGGATAGAAAATGTGAGTTGGATGTTAATTGAAACGCAAGCCATGGTAACCCTCGTGGTAACCGAATTGTCATATTCGCGAGAAGAAAACGGGCCTTACCGAAAATGATTAAAAATTGTTTATAATCCCTGCTAAACTTTAACTGAAATCTCGACTGAAATGGTTATGAAACTTGAACGTTGGTGAGATAAAGTTTTAACCTCATGTATTATGGTTATTTGAAAATGAACCTTACAAATAATGGGTTAAGAACTGGAGAGGGTCTAGTATACGGTAAGAGCGGACTGACTGGGTTTGAGCCAAACTAACTGTCAAAGACAGAGCCAATCGAGCACCACCTATCTTGATTGCACTGGCAGTGTTGCTAGAAACCACCTAGGCATAAATTGTCAAGGCAGTTTGTTTTGAATCCACTCCTCTCTTATACTAGACCCTCTCTATTAAGAACCTTTTTCCATTCAAAACAGTTGTTTTCTCTATACATTTTCGGAAAGAAAAATATATTAGAACTTTGTTACTTATGGTTTAAGAATTTTAATGGTAAAGGTTATGGTAGTCCGTAAGATCCATGGAATGGCTTACTTTCAAAATTACCTCTCCTCGTCACTGTGAGTGATCGCGAACTGTTTCGCGATGACACCGCGAAACGCACAATTAGACCGCTGAACAATACACTGCAATGCGCCAACAATTTTTCTATGGCACCAAAGTCTATTCATTTCATATACTGTGACATATATCCTCGCACAAACACCAGACACAGTGTCCGAATTTTCCGAAATATCCGGTTCGAAGGATGAAAATGTTCGCGTCCGCGACGGTCAAAATATTTCGGACACAGGAAATGGACGTTTTTGCACAACATAAAACGCTTTTATTCACGTGAACACTAACACTCTAAGAGCAACCGTATCAGTCGTTGCCATTTGCGGCACTATTTTACTTACGCACAGCGTTTCCATTTTGGCTTAATCACTCCTCTCCACACCGGTCGTTGCTATCAGAGTCATAATTTAAGTTACCGTTTTCCACACCGGCAAAACAAACTTTTGGCGTTTATGCAAAATAGCAACCGTCTGATGTGTTGTTACCGGGTTGCTAATCGGACCTGGTTTGTTAGCTGAATCTCGGCAAGTTTTTTTCTGATATCCAGCAAAAAATGCCGAGCTACTCGGAGGTGCCCATCTCGGCAAAAAAAAATCTAAGTTTATAGAGCTGCAGCCGATGCGTAATTGCGAGTCGACTCTCGAGCCTTTGTCGTAAGGACATGTTTTCTCAGGGGCCATTGTTTCGGGCTCGGGGAAATTTGACGGATAATTTGACCTCCTACTGATAATTCGTGAATTCCACACTTTTTAATTATTACAGTTTGACGCAAAGGGGAACGATAGTTTTGCAAGTCTTTGACAAAAGCACAACGTGTAATTTTTGTTGTTGATTACTCTAAAGCTCGCTCAAAAGTAGGTTACCATTAATTTACGATAAACTGAGCCAATTAGGTACTGCAGCGTGACGTCACGAATGAACTCAGTGTTAATCGGCTGAACCTTTTTGACAGTTCAATGTTCAATGGTACTGCACAGCAAAAAAAAATGTAATATCGATCAATGTAATTCAAGCTGATGTATGAAATAATGATGTAATAGCAAAAAGCAGATACAATATTACATCAATGGATGTAATTTTGTTCGCAAAATCGATGTTCATCGTACAACGTTATATTACACAACCGATGGATTGACCTGGTTGCAGCAGTTTGGATGTAATATTCAACAACTTTTTTTTCTGTGTGTTTGCAAGCACTTAGTCGTTTTTTCGAAAAGAAAAATTTAAAATTTCCGTATTTTAACTTGAAAATTGTCGAGGAACAGCCCTAATAAACGGGTACCATACTCTAACGATATCATAGATGGTACGACTATCCCACATAAAGTTGGGATGATATCCCGAATTGGTGGTTATACGCTTCTTATAGTTATTGTTTATGCGGGTAGCGCGTTGCAAGGATGTTGCTCGTGAACATTGCAGAAATGTGGTTTAAATCTCACTGCAGTCTAAAAAATTATCGAGAAAATCCACCCAAGAAAAACTACAAGGGACAAGGGGTTGTACGAACAGTTGACGTAGGACTACGCTCACATATGTTAACTATTTTGAACGAACGTTATTTAAAATTCCCGATATTATTATGACATCCGTGAATTTCTTCCGAAGTGTAATAATTGGTCAGTGTCCATTTGCCGTTTAATGCTAATTAGATTCTTTTTAAGTTCATGTGTAATTATTCTTGTGTTAGAAAATATTCCAAACTAACTCTTTCTTTGAAAATTGTGGTGGCCCTGAAAAGGTCCGTTTTGATGGTTTGTGGCTCTGAAAAGAGCCGTTTTATTGGATGCATGGCCCTCAAAAGAAGTAAGGACTATCCAACGCTTATGTAATCACAAAAGCACAAGAATGAGGATCGGCTCGACGACGCCCAATCTTATATAGTGGCATTATCCAATCAGGTTGCAACACGTGGTGGTAACTTCTAGAATTTTTCATAGGAGTTGTGCTTCGCTAGGATGTTGACAAAATGAAGGCTATTTTTCACATATGTAAATGGCGCTGTTCCATTGGTAGTAAGTAATAGAATTCTGAGACCTCCACGGATACGGTGAGCTAGTTTGAGCTTGGGTGAGCTTCGACATGACGATAACGTGCTTGATGACGGTGGCCCACAATGCTTTCTCACGATGAGCAACTGTACCCAAACAGTGACAATGTGGCTTCATCACTGCTACCAACAATCAATACGAAACTAACGATTTCAAATTGGCTCACTACTTGACTAGCCTATTGGTCCCAAGCAAATCGACTAACGTACCCCATTCTAGTATAAATTCCAGTACTACACTATGTTTGTTTTGATTCGCTATGAAAATTTGACAGATAAAATAAAGGGTTAGTGGATTTTCCTAAGTTTCGAGGGGTGAATCGATTAGCTTGGGACCGAAGACAGTACCAGAGCTGAGCCAAAAAGTTGAGCCCGTTTATTCGGGACCTTCTGGTCTTAGAGCTACCTCTATGCTGCTACTCTGTCTAGAGAGCTCTTGCAGGTAGCCTTGGCAGCAAGCTGCTTGTGGAGCCTTTTGAACACGTCTGAAGTTCGAAAGGAAATGCTGCAACGGCTTGATTAGTTTGGGACCAACTATGTGATGTCTTTGTTAGGAAATACACCTTATGGTGTAAGCAAATGTATGGGAAATTTTGATGCTACAAATTTTTGTTAAATTTCTTAGTTGTTTAACTATTTGCACTATTTGTACTATATGCCACAAAATTGCTGGAGTAAGCCCCCGTCGAATGGCATATTGCATGACATATTTCACACTTATGCTTTGGAGATATATGCGTTCAAAACCTGACCCTTTCGTTACATGCTCATTTTTCGTACTCTCAAAGTGTACCCCCATATAGAAAACAAAGACGTAGTCCTACGTCAAACATCGACTAAGTCCACGTAAACAGTACCACTAAACTGTCATCAGATTGAGGTTAACCCCGACGGTGCAAAACCTTATGTCACTCAGTTTACTAAATACAATTTAATGTTATCCAGTTTTTAACATTTTGCATAAACATACCAAACTGAGTAGAAGTTACTCACTTTAGAGTAAAACAAAACGAGCGTGTATGGTCTAACACGGACGGCACATCCATCGAATTTTCATTGGATGGCAAACAAATGCGAATGAGTGGAAACGTCAAACACTAATTAAAATAGTACGAAAAGGCGTTTGTGTTGTTTAAATTTATAAAATTATAGTGAAAAGAAGCAAGTTTGTAGGATTTTTCATCGTGGTGAGATTTAATAGTAGGAACAGGATTATGTTGGTTAAAGTTTACAACCGTTCCCGTGCGAAAAAAGGAACATAAACATTAAACCACAGTTTCGCCAAGTTCGAGTGACACTCCAAGCTTTACGATGGAAGTGATGGACATGAACTTCGAGTACGATTTGAGTAGAATCTGCCGCTCATGTCGGATGGAGTGCCAGGAACTGCATCCGATTTTCGATTCCATCGGATCCAGTGGTGTCCCGCTGCATGAGATGATGTCGGTTTGCACCCAACTTCAGATCCACTACAATGATGGAATGCCTCGGAACCTGTGCTCGCCGTGCGTCACCGATATCAACACGTCCTACAGCTTCCGGAAGCGGTGCGAACAGAGCGATATGATGCTGCGGGAGTACATCTCGCGAAAGAAACAGGACGGCTCAGGAGCGGATGGCGGTAACGCGGTCAAGGTGGAGCTGTTCGATATAAAGCCGGAAATTACGTTTATCGATGCAGATCCGTTGATTGGGGAGAAGTGCTTTGCCGTGTCGATACAAGATGGAAGGGGAGTTGAGGGGATTGAAGGCAATCCGGAGGAAGGATTGATTGAAGCACTGGATGATGATGATGATATGATCCAGGCAGAGTTTGTGGATAATAGTGATAGGGATAGCGACATGGACTACGACGGAGGAAGCCTGGATGATTTGATCGAGGAGGTTGATACGGAGGGAGAAGAAGAGAAGCCGAGGACGAGACAAACACGAGGTAGGAAGGGGCATGGTTTTACGAAGATTAAGGGAGGAACGTTAGCCTGCGATTCCTGTGAGAGGGTGTTTTTGGATAAGCGTGGCATTGCAAACCACGTAAAGCAACATGAACCCAAGCCGATGAAGGAGTGCTCAACATGCGAAAGAAATTTCAGCAGTAGCTACCACCTGTCGCGGCACATGAAAATCCACGAAATGGAAGTTCAGTGCGAACATTGCGATAGGAGGTTTTCCGCTGCGGTTTACGATGAGTATAGGCAGCATATGGAACAGGAGCACCCGGGGATAGAACTATTGCCGGAAAGGTAAGTTTATGGGAAGACTTTTTTTTCGGTGTCGACTTGTTTTTAGAGGGTTGAAATGTTGTCATAGAAGTTGTTGAATAGCTGTTGCTGTTTTACAGCCAAAACTTTTCTTTAATTTTGAACAGAAAAATTGAGGACGACAAAGAGCAGGAATCGGACAAGCCCTTTAGATGTAAAATATGCCACACAGGATTCAATCGCCGAACGCATCTGACGCGTCACATGATTGGACACGGTTCGGTCAAACGGTTTGAGTGTGCCGTTTGCCAGAGAAAGTTCCATCGCAAGGACAATTTGCAGTCGCATTTGAAGACCCATGGGAAACCACGGGTTAAGAGGATCAAGTCGCAAACCCAACAGAATGCGGGTCAGTGTGCGAAAGTGGACAAACAGATCGAGGATACTAAGGAGGGTATCCTGGTGAACAAAGCAAAGCCACAGACGAAACTGTGCTCGATTTGTGGTCAATGCTTTGGCAGATCCTATCACTTGAATCGACACATGCGACTGCATGCTGTCAAACCGGACTTTTCCAAGAAAACGAAGATCACTAAAAGAGTTATTACTGGACTTAAAATGCGGAGACCGACGGGTTCGATCAAATCGGTGCAGTGTTCGATTTGCGATAAATGGTTCGGCAGGTCCTACCATCTCAAGCGGCACATGAAACTGCATGAAACCCTTTGCGCAGATGTAGATCCTGAGGAAAATAAACAGTAGGTATTAGCTCGTACTAGGTTTAAGATATGTTAGATTAGTACCCCCCCAAATGAGTCGACATCGCCAAGTGTTCTTCGAAAACGGTTCTTACTAAATATAGGTTCATCTATTGCAGGAAATTCGAAAAATCCGGACTAGAGTTGGCGCTCACCCTAACGGCGGACATGGTTGAAGAACAAGGCAAAATGGAAGCCATCTGTCGGATTTGCGATAGCAGCTTCGATCGCATAGCCCAACTGCGGAGCCACCTTCGAAGTCACGTGGATCCGGAATCCTTTGCCGATGCGAATATCCACACTAAGCCATATCTGTTTGAAGAGGGTTACGTCCTGGAGAACTATTTGGACTATTTGGTCCAGCAAGTATGCAAGTGGGACGTCCTACGGTTCTATCAGATTGTGGAACCCGACGGAGAGGAGCTGGAATTGAGCGATTCGGACTCGGAACCGGAAGAAGCGAATCAACCGGTGGAAGGGATCGTTCGCCGGGAACATGTTTGCGCTTTGTGCAGTGAAAGCTTTCCACGGATCAAAACTATTATGGATCACGCTAGGGATCAGCATCGGCCCGAGGACCTGATAGGTTGCCGGCACTGTTCGCGTGGCTTCCCAAGTACCGAACTGTTGGTGCGGCATCTCAAACAGCAATGCGAAAATCACCATAAAAAGTTCTTTTGCACCTTCTGCAACGAGAAATTCATGTGGCAAACCAGTTTAAACAAGCACGCCCAGTGCAAGCACAAACCTACCAAACCGCTGTGGGACAAAACGGAACTCAGCGGCACCGGCGAGACGGACGATAAGGAGAAAAAGTTCGTTTGTCAAGTGTGCAGCAGGGGCTTCCAGAGGTTAGAGCACCTTGAGCGGCACATCAAGATCCACATCCCGTCGGAGAAGAAGTTCGAATGTACCCAGTGCCATAAGAAGTTCAATCGGAAGGACAACCTGCGATCGCACATGAAGATACACAAGAAGGACCCGGAGGAAGAGATGGCCAACAAGCAGACCCACCTGTGCGTCTACTGCGGCCGTGGATTCTCCAATTCGTCTAACCTGATTGTCCACATGCGAAGGCACACCGGCGAGCGGCCGTACAAGTGCGACATTTGCGATAAGGTAGGGACATTGAAGAAGTCTTTCGTTTGTGGTGACCGTTTTAGTCTCATTCTAATCCTTAGGGTTTTCCGAGGTCATCGGATCTGCAGTGCCACAGAAGGACACACACAGGAGAGAAGCCATGTCTGTGTACCATTTGTGGTAAGGGATTTTCCAGGTCGAACAAGCTCGTACGCCACATGAGGATCCACACCGGAGCGAGGTAACTAGCATGTGCAACGATTATCATACAAACATGACCCCTATAAACCGCCGAAACCCTTTGCAGACCATACTCATGCACTTACTGTGACCGTGCGTTCACCCAGTCAAACGATCTGACGCTGCACATCCGTCGCCACACGGGCGAAAAGCCATACGTTTGTGGCATTTGCAACGAACGCTTTATCCAGGGGACGGCCCTCAAGGCCCATCAGCGGGTAACGGGTCACTACGACGATGGCAGCTCCCAGCCGGAACGGTTTGCCAGCATCAGCGTCAATAATCCGAACAGGCTTGGTATCAACGGACCGAAGGCAGTGCGTCAAAGTCCAGGCACCACCAGCGACGACCTTCCGAAGGTGGTCAAACCGGTCAAGTCACGGAAGAAGGCCAATCCTTCCGGCAGCAAACCGTCAACTTCGGTTGCACCACCACCACCCAGCGAATCATCAGCTACGGTCACATCATCGAAATCGATTACGGTTCTACCCGCTTCGGCCGTTTTCTCGGCACCAGCCTCACCGGGAGAGAGCAGTATCAAAGCACCGCCTTCGAGCCTACATGGTTTACCCGGTGCACCGCATGGCTACGTCCCGATGCCATACATTATGCCGAGCTACGACCTCGCCTCGACCGGTCTATTCTCGCAGAATTTTAGTCAGCAGCAGTAAATTCTCGCCCTGTTTGTCTCTAGCTTGGTAAGGACTTCTAGTAGTACTGCGTTGGTAATATAAGGACATTTTTACGGATAATAAAATAACAGAACAAGTATGTAGCACTTATAACAGCTGAAACGTCTCTCTTTTTATTTCCGAACGATTGAATTGATTTTTAAAGCGAATATTTAAAACCTTGCTGGTAATATACCATATTTAATACAGAAATGAAGCGAAGGTATTAAGCGACACAGTTTTGTAAGGTTTGTATACATATTATGCTCAAGATAGTGCTTGCATGATTATCCGCTAAACTTGAATAGTTGTTGCTTGGCAAAACAGTAACTCTTAGCACTCTATTCTAATACTTTTCTTTTTAGTCGTGTTGTAGGTGATCTTAACAAGTTGTCTGCAGCTTACAATTGTCATAATTGGTGCTTTTTTACTATCTAGAAAGGTATGATCAATTTGGCAATTTAAATTCAACATTCCCTGTGAAAGCCGGCGTCCAAAATTTACAGAAAAGAAAAGTGGATAAAAGTTTACAAATTAGCAATGAGGCGGATTTTGAACATTTTAATACCTTTGTCCGCTCGTGCAGTATGGATGCCTGATAAAAAGAAAAAGAAAATACATTCGGCAGAATGTCCTGAAAAGCTTGAGGTGATTCCTAGTAGAGTCCATAAATGGCCGCCACGTAGGCTATACATGCACTTCCACTTCGAATTTTCAATTACACAAATCTCGGAAATCAGTGCCCCATTTCATTTGAAATTGCTACTTCATGTATGCTGCAGTGCAGCAGAGATGGAGTAACATTTTTAATGTTGCACGTGTCACGGGTGGTTCGTTATTTTGCGGAATGTCCTTTGTCGAACAGACATTTTGTGTATGGCACCATTCATCCATACCATAGTAACTGGTTGCTCTCAAATTGTTTCAATCAGCACCTTGCAAAATCAAGAAGCTTGATACCCCCAATTCTACAACATTTGCCAGAATGTTACATTGTTTAGGTGGGCTATCGTTTTAATTGGGCTCCCGTTAGTTGGCCTGTAGCCAACCTAAACCGAAGTCAAACGTCATTTCTGACAGCGCTGATTCATTTTGGAGGGGCTCATGTATGAACAATTGGATAGTTGATAGAAGATTTTGATGATAATAAACAATTGATGAATCCCTCAACAAATTGTCTGTGTTGAGTTTCTTGTAGACCGTACGCGTCTCTTGAGAACGATAGGTACAGCTGCTCTATTTCGTCACTAACTCTAACTCTTCCAGGCGCGTCGCGTCCTATCCCGAAAGGATGAGCTTGCTGTCTTCGCTTCTGTTTGTATTGTTTGAAGGGTCCCTTGCTGCAACATCACCGCTCGCGCTGCATTCTTCTCGTCTAAAGCAAACCCCACACGCATCAATATATTGACGCGAAGGGGAATTATTGACAATAATATTGATTATGTGAATTCAGAAATATTATCAATCTCGATATATTGACGTCAATATAGCATGTATTGACAATACGATTATTGTCAATAAAAGCAATCGTGTAGGGTTCACTTAAAACCATCTAACATTTCCGGAATGATTTGAGATTTGAGCGTAATTGCTTTTGTAAACAAACGCTTCAATCGACGATTTCTCGCGAATAAAAGCTCAACATAGAAAACTTACAACACAAACAAGTAGAGGAATGATTCCTTTAGCATGTGGTATAATTTGTCGCAAGATTGAACTTTTATTCACGAGAAATCGGTGATTGACGTGTTTGTTTACAAAAGCAATTACGCCCAAATCTCCAAGTTCTCCGGTCTTCTCGTTGAACCTTTTCGTTTCTCTCCACGAACCCAATGACACCTTCTGCTACGCCGTTGATAGCTGCTTTGACACTACTTCAGCAGTCCTCAAAAGGGGGTCTTGATCACCCTAATAAAAAATTACCATAAACTATATAAAGTTTTTATTAGGGCAACTTTTGCTCATCCGACAACACTATACGTTGCTACGTTCGCGTCTTGCGCGAAATCAGTTGCGATTTCGGGTAGCTGGAGTCGTTCCAGATTGTACCGTGGCACGCCACTATTAAAAACTAAGCAACCCGCAATTTTGTTACGTTAGCAAGTATTTAGAGAATAAACGTTCATTAATTCCACTTTGTTCCTTCAAACCTGAAGCACCGTTTTGCCTTTTAACTCTGCAAGAGGTTATGGGCCCAGCACCTAACCGGAAGAAAATAGAAGTAGAATAAGTTTTCAAGATGTCATCTGGAGGTAGCAGCCATTGCAGCGGACGTCAAGCTGAGAGCCTTGGCATCGATTTGCCTGAGCCTAGAAAGCTACAATTATAGTCTGGTTCAGGATGCGGAGGACGCAGCTGCTGGGAAGAAACTTGCCAAAACCCTTCAAGACTCTGGTTTGCCAATGAAGATTGGTCTCCTACGGAAGCTTACTTCGATCCGGCTGGTGTCTAACAGCCACAAGCTTTCGACGATTGGTTTCAGGGTGGATGATTTGTGGTTAGTCGCGTTGCTCCTGAATATTACGAGCCAATGATCATGGGATTGGAGGCGTCTGGAACGAAATTGTTATCCGATTCGGTCAAAGAAGTCAAGGTCGAGGCAGCGACAATGGAGCACTGTACTCACGTGGGACGAACCCAGGCAAAGTAAAGTCCAATATAAGAAGAAGGCTGAGAAGACGTGCTTCAATTGAGGTAAGCTTGGCCATTTTACTGCCAGATGTCCCGAAAAAATGAAGCAAAAACCGAAAGGGCTCTGCAGCATTTTTGCAATGGCGTGGTATGTTGACTTGGGAGCGACGTGCCACATGGCACAACCAAGCAAGAGGTTTATTGAAGAGATGGCGATAGAACACGACTTTGGAACGGTGAGGTGTGCAGGCTCAAGAAAGCGCTGTATGGCAGTCAAGCCGTGTATGGAACGGAAAACTGGAGCAATCCAGAGTAATCCTGAGGAACTCTCTTGCTCTCTGATGAACGGTTGTATTATCTCGATTGGTTTGACAGCGCATCCCAAGCAATCACATTTATCGGAGTTTGGAACTCGCAGGACTTATCCTCAAGTACATGTCCTCACCGGAGCTGGTTGCTGGAAGGGAATATCTATCTATTCGCTTACTCTAAGCATCTGGATGCTCAGTAGTATTAAGATGGCAATATCCTGTACAATTTCATTACCACTGCAAATCGAAAAGTGTCCTCCAGAAAGCCATCGCCCGTGATTTAAGAAAATAACCAAAACCTCTATGACAAATGCAACGGAACAGTTTCTGAATGTAAATCCTAAGTTCTCACCAGCAGCAGTCCAATCACGACCCTACCAATTAATTGCATGTTGCACCCATTGCTTGGTCCTTCTTCCCAGGTGGCACATGGCCATTCATCGTCCTCCTGTAGCGGGAGGGTCAATGTCCGTGTCCAGGACTAATCTGCACACAAACAACATCAAAGGAGTCGCAGGGGGATTTGTTATTTTCAGCGTTATGTTATGGTTGAGGTCCTCAACTTGAGGATATGATTGCCAGCAGAGTTGATAATAGAAGCGTTAAGTCCGGACAGTAGTCATGGATGGCACAAGGGTTGAGTGGGAGGAACAAGGGAACAACTGGTAGAAAACGAGATCATTTTCATTATTTAAGGACACTAATGACGGAATCCATTTTCCACACAATTTGGTTTAACCACTTCGCAATTTCACGGACACATCTGGTGATCTACTTAATGGACACAGTTCAAAATTAATCTACATGTCTGCTGCAGAGAGGCAACCATTTCATTAAATTTGCCCACCTGTATGACTTCTGGATGGCCAGTGCCAGTGAAAACGCGAACTGGAGGGATTCCATGAACCTCAAATATTGCATCCGAACTAACATTTGCATGGTCAGATTTCAATGTCTATATGCCAAACTAATTCTGTTTTCGTCGCAAATTAGATCAGATCCCAGAGCAAACCAGAGTAGCTCTGAGCAACTCAGAGTAAAAGAGAATTTTAGAAGTACTCAAATGAAAGCCGTCTTCCCTCTCGATACAACGATAAAACTTCCAAGTTCGTTCAAGTTTCATGAAGTTCAAATAAAGTTCCGACAGAACTTTCTTCCCAAGCAACCAAAAGTTCCGCATTCAACGATAAAACCCACTTTCAAGTTCTATAAAGCGCAAATAATGTTCCAACACAACTTTCTGGCAACTTTAGAAGCTATAGAAAGCACACGAGGAACTTCAGGCTCCAAAAAGTTCCGATGCATACTCTTAGCAACTTAGCAAGTTCAAATAAAGTTCCAAAAAGGCAAGGCTGAAAACATGGCCACGACAATGTTCCGAACAAGTTCCCAGCGGAACTTTAAAGTATCTTAAAAGTTCCCTGCGGAACGTCTTAACAACTTGAAAGTTTATAAAAAGGTCCGTCATAGCCCACATGAAGCAATTCGCACAAGTCTTTATTAGTAACAAACTTTAATGTACGTAAATATGAAATGATCAGAGGCTCAAATAAATCATAATTCTTATATTTATGCAGTGCATCAATATTCTATCCAAACCAAGATCCAAACATAAAAATCATCATGCGGGCAAACACCAATTTAAAATTCATTAAGGTGTTGTGTTTCGTATTCAAGTCAGCCAGTTGGCACTGAAAACTCCAACAGTAGGCGGGATAAAAGCTCACTTTAATATATCTCAGAAGACGTACCGGTTGTAACGGATTGATACGCATTGCATCATGACCGGGTAAGTAGTAGAGTGGGATTAGTGTTCAGTACCGGGTATGAATTAGGAAACGTGATAGCACGATGTATGAGTGAACCTATGAGCGAGTGGGACAGCGAGATAGCGATACCGGTTGGTGTTGAGTGAGTAGCAACAGGCGAGTCAGTCAGTGTTCGACAGTGCCATCAAACAGACGTGGATACGAGTGCGGGTCAGTGTACAGTACGAATTGGCGTGTTGCAATGGCGGCGAGGATTAAAATTGGTAAGTTTCAGTTTTGGAACAAGAAAACAAAAAAAAAATATGAACAAATGTTTCATGCGTACATTTCGAGGTACATTTACGTACCAACAGTACTGGCAATTTAGTGAAAAAACAATAATTCGGGAGATAGAGTGAATCTGATTTTTTTTTCTCAAGACTAACGTGAACGCTGGAAAAAAAAAATATATGGCGGCTTATTGGAAAAATTTGCAGCTGCTTAGGCCAGAATGCACAGAAGATGAGAAAACATGGCGGCGGTGTTGAACTTACTTTTATATGAAATACTCGATGTTTGTGGTTATGATACTGTTTCATGATGTTGGGGTTGTACAAAAATGTGCTATGCAAGTAAAAGAAGGCTCCGTTGAAAACAGAGAAAATACAAAATGCCTCCGCGCTGTGGAAAAAATGCTCCCAGGAAAAGTGGTCCGTGTTGCTAAATTTGAGGTTAAATTTGCTTCGTGATGCGAAATTATGCTTCGTGCTAAAAATGCTTCGCGATAGAGATTGCTTTGTGCATGGGTATTATGCTTGGTGCTGAGGAATTTTCTACGTGAACGGGGATTATGCTACGTGCTGAGGAGTTTTGCTTCGTGAAAAAGATTGCTTTGTACATGGGTGTTGATGAGTTTTGCTTTTCGTTGAGAACTTATACTTCGTGCTGAAGATAGGGCTCTGGGAGAATTAGTGAACCGATTGTTTTTGTGCATGGTAATAATGCACAAGAGAAATTGAGAAATGTTACTTCGTGTTATGGATTTATGCTTCGTGCTGCAATTAAACCGATTGCTTGTGTGTAGGAATTATGCTTTGTGGATGTAAAATGAAGCGGTTGCTTTGAGTAGAGAAAAAAATAACATTGGACAACAAAGTTGTGCCAACAATTCCAGGAGGTTAAGTTGGTATAAAATAATGAACACGATGCAAGCTCAGATGCAAGCAGAGAATGTTTCAAGGAATGAAACAGTTTAGCGTCATTGGATGTTATCGACATACGTATTAAGGTATACAATGTGTCTCTGTTTTTTATAGATGCAGCTGCAATGCCACCTTTCAAGGTGGGCACAGATCCAAGGAACGATTGGATCAAGTGGAAGCGAGCTTTGGATCGGTTTTTGCAGGCAAACAAAATAGAAGAGGATGAAGAAAAATGCAATTTATTGCTAGTTTTGGGTGGTATAGATCTTCAATCATACTACGACAAAGTCGCTAAATGGGAAGTTCATAAAACTGTGGACGATAACGAGGAAATAGTTGTCCTCAAGTACGAATCGGCTATTCTATCTCTTGATGAATATTTCGCCCCGCAATTAAGGAAACGATTCGAACGTCATTCTCTACGGTCGATGAGGCAGAATAACCAAGAGCCTTTTGAGGAGTATGTATTTCGGTTACGTGAGCAAGCAAATCGATGCTGTTTTATCGATGTCGACGATATGATCGTCGATCAAATTATCGAAGGATGCCGGTCGGCTGACTTAAGGAAGAAGCTATTGACAGAGGAGTTGACACTTTCTGAAGTAGTTAATCTGGGAAAAACGCTAGAAGAAGTCCAGAAACAAACGAGGGAATACGAGAAACCCTCAACGTCGTTTGACGATGGCTCATTGGTTCAAAAAGTTGTTGCGAGGACCTCATCTAGTACCAGATCTTGGGAAGGTTCAAGGAAATGCTATAATTGCAACAGACCGGGACATTTGGCCAAAGAAATAGACAAATGCCCGGCGAAGAATGTGGAATGCTATGGATGTCGAACGAAAGGTCATTTTAAAGTTTGCTGCCGGAAAAGGAAACACAATGAACCGGGAAACAGAAACTCAGCTGGAGCCAAACGAATTCATGCAATCATCAGTGACGAGACGGAGACAGATAAGGGTATTTTTTTCGTCAAGGCCTCGGAGGAACTGAATGAGATACTTGAGTTGAATATTGGTGGAGTGATTACGAAGATGGTCATCGACTCCGGATCGCCAGCTAACATTATCGATAGCAAGACATTCAAGAGGTTGAAAAATCAAGGAGCACAGATCCTGAATAAAAGGAAGCCTGAAAGCGACGAAATCAAATTCAAGGCGTTTGCATCTGATCAGGACATATTCTTCAGTACAGCATTCGAAACGGAGGTGAAAATTCCTGGTGAAGAGACTGGAATCTGGTCCCATATCTTGGTCGCTCCGGAAGGTCAAGTTAGCTTGTTGAGCAAGGGAACTGCATTTGCGTTGGGAATATTGAAAATCGGATATCATGTGAACCAGATTTCGGCGGAAGAGCGTACAAAGGACGCAAACGAAGGACGGGAAGCGTTTCCTAAGATACCGGATGTTCGTTTGTCAATCCAAGTTGATGAAACAATAACACCAGTCGTCCAAGCAGCTCGGAGGTTTCCCATGTCCATGGAAGCGGACGTGGAACAAACGATTCAAGAGCTGTTGGAGAAACAAATCATCGAACGGGCGGAAGCTTCCATAACATGGGTGTCACCACTCGTCCCAGTGAGGAAATCCGATGGAAGAATCAGATTGTGCGTAGATATGCGAGCTGCTAACAAGGCAGTTAAGCGGGAGAACTATCCAATGCCGAATATCGATGATGCAATGTCAAGAATAAAGAAGGTACGTAAATAAACTTTGATATTTGTTTGAGAACTATGTTAGAGTTTTTTTTATTATATGTGTTGATAGGTTGCGAAATTATCCAAAATTGACCTTGAAGCCGCTTATTACCACTTCGAGCTCAATAAGAATAGCAGGAACATCACTACATTCGTTGCAAGAAGCGGGGTTTACCGTTTCTGTCGGTTGATGTTCGGGATAAAGTCCGCTCCCGAGCTTTTCCAACGAGAAATGGAAAATTTATTTCGAGGGATTAAAGGTCTGATAGTTTACATGGATGACCTTCTTATCCATGGGGAAACTGTGGAAGAACATGATCAGTCCTTGCGAGAAGTTCTTGATCGGATTAAGAAAATGAACATGAAGATTAACATGCAAAAGTCAGTTTTCGGGGTAGTATCTGTGACGTTCTTAGGACACATTGTGGCCATCGAAGGCATTCGGCCTACGGATGACAAAATCAAAGCTATTCTTGGGCTGCAGGCACCCTCATCTGTTACTGAACTAAGATCACTTTTAGGGCTTATCAATTTTGTTGGAAAGTTCGTCCCAAATCTGTCGACAATGACTGTTAATATGAGAACTTTGCTGAATAAGGAATGCAAATTCGTTTGGACAGAAACACATTCCCGGGAACTAGAAGCTCTAAAAGGAATACTGGGTAGAGTAGAATATCTAGGATTTTTCGATCCAAAAGATGAGACTTTACTAGTTACTGACGCCAGCCCTTATGGCTTGGGCGCTATTTTGATCCAAATTAAAAACAATGTCCCGCGAACCATATCCTGCATATCGAAAAGCTTAGCTGACTTCGAGAAGAAATACTGTCAAACGGAAAAAGAATGTTACGCAATTATCTGGGCCATGGAAAAACTGTACGTGTATCTCTATGGGATGCATTTCACGCTTATAACAGATTGCAAGCCACTGGAATATCTTTTCAACAGGGTCAAGTCAAAACCATCAGCTCGGATAGAAAGATGGATTCTGCGCTTGCAAAGTTTTGATTTTACGGTTAGATATGAACCGGGAGATGGAAATCTCGCTGATTCACTCTCTCGTCTTTCTCAAGGGATAAAAGACTGTAGTACAGGTTCAGACGTTATCAGTTGGCTAGCAGATGAAATAAAACCTACTGTGTTGTCTATTGACGAGCTTGAAAAGGAAACATTGCGTGATGATGATTTACAAAAAGTCAAGGAAGCGATATATACAGGGATCTGGGACGAAGTACCGAGTGAATTTAAGACAGCTACGATTAAAGATGACTTAACGCTCTATGGAGAATTGATACTGCGAGGTGACAGAATCGTTATTCCTAAATTGTTGAGAGAAAAAGTTATTCATTTGGCTCATTTGGGACATCAAGGTGGAACATCCATGAAAGCGATGCTTAGGGCCAAAGTATGGTTCCCTTTCATGGATAGACAGGTGGATACAATTCTCCGGAATTGCAAACCGTGTAAGATGACGGCGCTGCCCGATAAGCACAATCCAATGATCCGTCGACTTCCGACAATGCCCTGGCAAGATTTAGCGATCGATTTTAAGGAAGGTCTTCCCGGGGACGTGTCATTACTAGTTGTCGTATGCTACACAACAAGGTTTGTACAGATAGAACCAATGAAGCCGGCAACAACACAAAAAGTAATCGGTGCACTATTGCGAATGTTTAGTTCGTTCGGCATACCACGATCGATTACTTCAGATAATGGACCGCAATTCAAGGCGATTGAATTTCGGAATTTCTGTATAAGTTACGGGATCCATCTGAACCTCTCTACACCGTATTGGCCGGAACAAAATGGAGCTGTGGAGAGGCAGATGCGTAATATTGGAAAACGAATCAAAATTAGTTGTATTCAGGAAACAGATTGGGAGGCTGATCTCTACGAGTACTTGACGTTATACCATTCGACTCCACAAGAAACGACTGGTGTTTCCCCGGGACAGATGATGTTTGGCCGGGAGATACGGAATCGTATACCATCTATTCATCAACCACCGAGTTTGAAATGGGAATCATGCAGAGATCACGACATGGAAAAGAAGGAACAACACAAAACAAGGGCTGACGGAGCGCGGCAGGCGAAAAATCACAAATTGGAGAAGGGAGACGTGGTGTTGATGCGGAACATCAGAAACGGATCATATCAGCCAAATTTCGGATCTGAAGAATTTGAGGTTACAGACATCATGGGAGGGGAGATCACTGTAAGGTAAATGGGAACTGGCAAGACGTATAAGCGGAACAGTTCACATCTGAAGAAGTTAAGAGACGCTGTAACACCTTTGACGGAGATCGACACTACAGATTCGGAAACTGAAGTTGCCGAAGATGCGAGCGGAGATGTGATCCAAGGCGGTACCACGACCTCTACAGAAGATCCTCTGAAACCAGGTACGAAGCGGGTTTGCAGACGACCGACTAAATTTGATGATTTTGTAGTGTAAAATTCAAATAATAAACTCAGATGGTAGATTAAATACGAAACATAACGTACAATAAAAGTTAGAAACAATAGCTAAATAAACATCACTAAAAAAAGAATACGCTTAGTAAACAACTAAAAATTAGGAAGGATGTAACGGATTGATACGCATTGCATCATGACCGGGTAAGTAGTAGAGTGGGATTAGTGTTCAGTACCGGGTATGAATTAGGAAACGTGATAGCACGATGTATGAGTGAACCTATGAGCGAGTGGGACAGCGAGATAGCGATACCGGTTGGTGTTGAGTGAGTAGCAACAGGCGAGTCAGTCAGTGTTCGACAGTGCCATCAAACAGACGTGGATACGAGTGCGGGTCAGTGTACAGTACGAATCGGCGTGTTACACCGGTTCGCCCTGGGGCTCTCACGCAGAAGGACTGGGTTTAATTGTCCCAATTCTCCAAACAGCTCCAATACTACTACTAATGCTGATAAATCAATACACGTTCATACATGCCTTTAGAAATAACTTTCTTAAAGACCTAGGGCAGTTTAGAGAGGCGTAATGTGGCCTCTGACTGGTACGTTATTTCGCCTTTTTGGCATTATATAGCTGAACAACGGCTTTACCAGTGTTTGCAAGTTCTGATGAGGCCCGTATTTAGCTAAAAAGGCGAAATAACGTGCCTATGGTTACTTGAGTGGAGGGCTTCAAGGGTATAGCGATGCCGATTGGGGAGGAGATCCTGATGACAGAAGATCGACAACAGGTTACTTGTTCACCATGCAAAGGGCTGCCATATCCTGGAGCGAAAGGAAGCAACCAACCGTAACCCTTTCATCATGCGAGGAGGAATTCATGGTACTTTCGCGGGCCATTCAAGAGGCGATGTGGTGGAAGAATCTGCGTTCGGAGCTAACAGAAGGTCGAGCAATGCCAACCTACTGCGAACAATGGTTCGTATAATCCAAGAACGAAGCATACCAAACTGCGGATGGATTCATGAAACCAATGACCCTTTTGAAACAAGCTAAGTTAAGCAAACCCCACACGCATCAATATATTGACGCGAAGGGGAATTATTGACAATAATATTGATGATGTGAATTCAGAAATATTGTCAATCTCGATATATTGACGTCAATATTGAATGTATTGACAATACGATTATTGTCAATAAAAACAATCGTGTACGGTCCACATTACGCCAATTCGCGAACCCCACACGTATCAATGTATTGAAAAGGGAATTATTGACAATAATATTGATGATTTAAATACAGAAGTATTGTCAATATCGATGTATTTACGTCAATATATCAGTGTCAACATTTCAAAGGGGCGTAATTGCATTTGTAAACAATGGCTTTAGCCTTCGATTTCTCGTGAATTAAAGGTCAATCATGAAGATTAATGACACCAGCAGATAGAGGAATGTTACCTTTACCAGCTAGCATTGTTAATTTGGAGAGGTGAACTTTTATTTGCGAGAAATCGACGGCTAAAGCCATTGTTTACAAAATCAATTACGTCCCTTTGAAATGTTGGCACTGATATGATGTATTGGCGTCAATATAGAATGCAATCGGGATTAAGTGAACCCTACACGACAAATTGTATTGACAATAATCGTATTGTCAATACATTTTATATTGATGTCAATACATCGGTATTGACAATATTTCTGTATTCACATCATCAATATTATTGTCAATACTTGTAAGTATTGACAATATTTCTTACCGTGTGGGGTTCGCTTTAGGGAGGAGTGAAAACCAAGCAACCCGCGATTTTGTCACGATACCAAGCTTGTATTGTAAATACTAGTATTTAGGGAATAAACGTTCGTTCCACTTTGTTCCTTCATCCCTGATGGAAGCACAGTTTTTCCTTTTAAATCTGCAAGAACTATATGAGAAAGGTATATGGTATCTTCCATCAATCCAAACGTCGATTTTTGATCATCATTGATGATTACCTCGAATACTTCGGAGCAGCAACATAATGATGTGATTCCTCTGAAATTATGGACATTCCCACGCGCCAGGAAATTTGCTCAACAAGTCAAATAACTTCGTCGACGTTTCCGAACGGACCAGCAGTAAACGAGAAACTTTTTGAAGGGTAAGATTGACGGTATTTTAACTGACGGCGATCGAATGCATCTCTTGGAACATCACTTGTAACAATCGTAGCTTGATTTGGTGAGGGCGAGATTTCGTTGAACGAACTGGTTAGCTAGGAGGAGGAGAAGGAGTGTATCCATGTTTCTTCTTGGCCAGAAATCCCCTCGCGGTGCCTCGCAAACGAAACACTTATTCTTCACTCGAGTCTACCGAAAAATTAAAAAAAAAATAAATAATTCCGGATGGCTCGTTTCAGAACCTAGAACTATAGTCGCTTTATGTAGAGTCGGTTCATGTTTCCTATTGGCGTTGACGGCACCGTCGAAAAATTCCAGAACAACATGTGAAAAGGGCATACAAGCTTTTTGTAAACAAACCTTTGTAGGCCCTTTTCTCACCAACCGAGGGTCGCCCACGTAAACCAGCAATATCATCGGGAAGGGGAAAGTGTCCCCTACCCGGTGATGTTAAAGGTTTGCGTTGGTGTCATATGGGTGGCGAGAAAAGGGCATAAGAAGGTTTGTTTACAAAAAGCTTGTATGCCCTTTTCACATGTTGTTCTGGAATTGTCTCTTCTAGGCAGAGCTGCCAGGTGGTTTTATAAAAAATCTGTATCCACTCTATTAAAAAATTTGTATTTTCTGTATTGACGATTTTTTTCTTAATTAATCATGTTTTGTTGTTCTACAAATACAGTGCATACAAAATAACCATAAAAAGTGCTTAACCACCTATTCGGGCTATCGTACTAACCATACGGGATATAATCGCGCCATTTGTGATATCGTCCGTACTTATTTATAAGAGTGATATGAAGCCGTTTGAAAATGTATGGAGATTTTAGTTTCTATTCATTATCTTCCTGATAAGCAGTTTTAAATGCAAAAAAGTGCACGAGTTCATTACTATTTGATATTTTTAATATAGGGTTACGGTATGTAATGTGGGTCTAGTCCTTTCATTCGGCCTATCACGCAAATAAATAATTAATTAAGGAATATTACACAAAAAATAAGGAAAATATTGATCACTGATGGTTGATAAATGTGTACCACACACAAATCAATTTATATCACAACATTTCAATACATTTTCAGCTCTCGTAAGTAATAAAACTGGTTGAGAATATCACAATGTTCGGAGTTTTTAGCCGCCATGACTTATAAGGTTAAGATGGGAAGGTTGACTGACGATCATCAAATGGCCTGATTATGGCATTTATTGATTGGAATTACCTGATAATACACACTAGACGTAAAACTTACAGTTGCTGTTTGAATATTTTATGTTTATTTTAATTGTTTAACAACGTTTTCACAAGTAAAACATGGACCCAACTTTAGGGACACATTTCTTTTCTATGTTCCTAACTATGGCCCATGAAATTCATTTGACAGCATATAGCAATAAGAGTAACGTCAACAATGTTGTTTTGCATTTGGATGATAAGGAACGAACAGGAAGGGAGATTTTTTCTGCCAAACCTGTATAATGAACATCACAATGTTCTGATTTAGATATTCTGCGGTCAAAAGACGATAAGCGAAATTTTTAATTTTTAATTTTTAAATTGAGTGATTTAATGTAGTTTTCGTAAAATTTTCTCTAAGAAATGTTTTGAGGAATGAAGAGCATTAAGTTAACAGTGATAGTGATAAAAAAAAATACATCAGAAAACGTTACCAAGAGCGTTTTTTTGAGGATCAAACAAGATAGGACGAAGTTGCATCCATAAATAGACCCAATTTGGGGACAATAGACCCATATTACATACATTTCCCTCGTGAGTTATTGTCTTAAAAAAAGTAAGTTTTTCAACTTTTCGTGGTTTCTGATAGCAAACGACATGATAAGCATATCTAAGCATACCATTTAGCAGTAGAATATCGTTTGCAGGTAAATTCATTGATGAGTTATGATTAAAAACGTAATTGATGGCTGCATATTAGACCGAGGTTAGGGACGTATACCCTAGATGAATACAATTAATTACATCATTTGTGTGGTAGTTACACCGAAAAGTCGAGAGATGTCGCCCCGCCAGTGCTGGTAAAATCATTTTTGCAGTATGGAGAATATCAGAAAATCCGCAATTTCTTACGAAATACATTTTCAATGCAAGTAAAATGTTTACGAGTACTTGTATTTGTACCATTTTAATGTGCTCGGGCACTTTTCTTGTATTTAACATACATGCTTATATTGGAAATATTCAATTAATACTGTAAATCCCCATACAATCTCAAATCGTTTACTACCAGCTCCATATGCATCCGAAAGCGGTTGGTCCTCTGGTTGTGAATGCTGTCAAAAACACCATAACATCATTAATTGTCGATGGAAATTTGATAGGTTCCCGAGCAGAGGGTGAGAACAAAATTAAAACAAGAATTATGTTGTTTTCATTATTCCTGATAACTCAAATTGATTTCATTTTGATGGAGTTGATGGCTAACAGAAAAAAAAAATGAGAGCTAAAAGATATGCGAAGAATATCAAAATTATAACATATATTGATATTAGTGAGAACTGCTTGATAACTTATTTTGATATAGATTTTTTTTCTCAAGCATTTTATAAAAATCTGTATAAATCTGTATTGTAATTTAAAAATCTGTGATAAATCTGTATTCTGTATCGGGTCTGTATTAAGATTAAAAAATCTGTATAATACAGATAAATCTGTATAAATGGCAGCGCTGCTTCTAGGAAAGATTGACAGTTTCTTATGGGATTTTTCGGTGGCAAAGGATTTTCTCCTAATTCAGGAATTCATGTACATTTGAAGAAACATTTTGCAACTTTGAAGTATAATTTCTCAAAAATAATAACGAATGCACACATGTTTTTCATGCTTAAATGATCATTAGGGAAATACAAAACTTTTGTCCGAAAGGAATTCTCGATCCATTTTCTCTAACAACTGATAACTTTGAGAGAAAGGCATAAAGTTACTGGAATAAAGTGCTAGAAATGGTTAAAATATATATATATTTTTTAATTTGAGAACTCCCAGGACTTTGACTATTTCACAGAACATTGTTTGGCATAATTAGAAAAGTTGGTCACTTGGATTTTTCAATCAATTTTACCATATTGGAGATCGTTGGGTTTAAACACCAGTTTTTCAATGAACCAATAAAAATGGCGGACGCGTGACTTCAGACCTTAAATAGTGCAAAATCAAAACGGGTAAATGGGCAAAATCAACACGGACGATCATCTCAATTCCATTACTATCATTGCTTTTAACTAGCCGCTACGAGCTAACCGCCTTATTCCGAATTTTCACTATTTTAACCCTGAATATAAGAATTCTGACAATTATATTATGACATTCGCCTCGTACCTTTTTGTCGCGCAAATTCCTACAGCAGCACCAATACATATAAATGCTTGAAAAATTTAATTATCATGCTTATTGAATGACTTACTGTCAGTTAAGATATGTCGTTTATGTTAAATATTCGAACTTGTAATGTATGTTATAAACTCTTTTTTTTTCTGTTTGTGTAAGCATATAGATAAAACACCAGACTGTGTGTAGTAGCAACAGGGTAAAGATAGTTCAATTTATGTCCTTTATATTTATAAGGTGTTATATTAATGTACTCTATTCAGTTATAATCTATCAACCTTGGAAGTGCGACAATTTCTGCCTTGATTATATGTATTACTAGTTATATTTTCCTGGTTCGCAGTTTGAAACTTTAATCAAAATCTGTCTTTCTCTCATATCAAAAATACTCGGCTAAACATTCCGTTCTCGAGGGATGAAAAAACTGTGTGTACAAAAATTAGCCTTCAGTGTAAAAAATTAAAGCTTGTTCCTTTTCAACTACACATTACTGTTTATTGGGTTGTGGCTCCTCCTCTAGCTGATGTTCTTTAAAAAAAAAAACACTATTCTACTAACAGTGAGCAAGGGGAGTAGGTAGATAGTTGTATCATCAACGAACGGGAAACCTTTACGATTACTATTTAATTTAAGAGGAGCGATGGTTGGTTCTACTTTGACAATTTTCCGGGCGCAAAAAGATCAAAAAACTGAGGGATGTTCTGTGGACCTACCGAGAGAGAAACTGATTGTCTCTAGTGAGTTGTTTTCTGAGTATAGTTCCTATAGGTATTTGGGTGATTTCAAAAATTGGAAGAGAAAAGTTGTTATAGTCTAGTTCAAAATTAAAGCGATATCCCATGTAGATCGATAGTATAGAGGGAAACAATTTCCAACAAGGCAGTTTAAATATAGGATTGGTTTGCCTTGTTTGCGTTCGTTGTGTGTCGTTCTAGTAAAAGTGTGAAATCTTATTTTGTGTTGTGATCAAGCTCCTATTTTCTCATGCTTAAAGCTGTTTGTTGGTCTTCTTCTATTGAATCGCGCTTCGTAAAATGTCCTGCGCGGTTTTTAATTTAGCAGAATGAGTATCCCAATCTGCTAGTTGAGGGTGTACTTAAGCACCTTGCCGAGGTACTCGATCGTTATGAACAGCGACCGTGCGTCCTTCGGGTCCCGTCTGCATATAAACTTACCTTTGATCACCTGTCCTTCCTGCACGGAGATCGGTTCTTCGACGTAGAAAATCGTTTGCTTCCAGTGCGTTGGTCTCGTGTAGGGCGAGGTTGAAAATTCAACATGCTGAGGCAGTTCAAAGAACGTATCAAAATAACCAACCAAGGCAGTCAATTTGCAGCTCTTCTTGACGGTAAGTTCAAAGTTGTAGCTGAAATTGGGACAATCGACGTCCACCTCCATCAGGTCGAAATTGGCAATTATGTTAGCGTTGGTGATGACATGTTCCGGTTTGCACACTTCTACGGTGGCCTCCCTTAACACTTCCTTCTTCATGCAGGACATATCAAAGCCGTAAACATTCTTCCAGAATCCGATAAACTCGTCATGCCGCTCGATATCTCCATACCCGGCTATACTAATATTACACCTGTTCGGGAGGATGAAGCCACCCTCCTTCAGGTACTGCTTCCTAGCATAGATCACGCTATCCATCATCCCTTCGAACAACAGGAAGTAACCCATCCATTCGGACACAATAATGTCCACCTTTTCCACCGGCAGTTCGCTATCCTCCAGCCGTCCCTTTACGAACTTAATATTCTCGATATTATTTCTTCTGACAATATCCATCGCCTGGTAGATTATATCCGACTGATCGACCGAGATCACTTCCTTCGCTCCGGCTTTGGCAGCGAACATGGACAAAATAGCCGTACCACAGCCCAAGTCAAGCACCGTCTTATCTCGGAAGATTTCACCATTTTCGACAATGGCATCACGATAGCTGGCTGTTCGAACATAATCCTGAAACCGAAACCTGTTGTTGTAATCTACACATTCCTAAAATCTATATACTCACACTCAACATATCGTGATGAATACCAAAGTGCGAGTACGTATTGAAGTAGCCCTGATCGTCCTCCACGGCCACTGTGCTAACGCAGTGTCTCAGCTCTTCCCTGATTTGTGCTAGCTTCTCGTCAGGTGCCTTCTTATTTTTACCAGTTCCCACCATCTGTTCGCTCTGCTGTTCCAGCAGATTCCGGAAACTTTCCTTCATCTTCTCTATGTCACTGGACGCATGCTGCAGAAGATTTTCCTTCTCCCGTAGCTGCGCCGTTAGCTCATTGATTATCCCCTGCAGCTTCCGGTACTGATCAGTCGTCAACGTTATCGTCTCCCCAATGTTGTTGCCATTCTCCCGCGTTCCACTACCCCCATTCCCATTGCCATTTAACAAGATCTCATCCAGTTCGTCTAAATCGAACATCAACCACGTCTCGTTCTCAACCGGCTTCAAGTACTTGTCATCGGACCAGAACACGCTCGTACCATTCTTGAACACTGACGGATCCGGCTTCTCCAATCGTATATAATTGATCATCTTTATGTACGCATATTCATCCAGATGAAATCTACGTCTTACTTCGCCCAAGTCAAACTCGTGCCGTTCCCGGGCATGTCGAATAGCCGTCGTCATCGTCGGAGAGATCTGTTCACAGAACAAACATCTTACCGGATCATTCTGCTCCTCGGCTACTTCCCACTCGTCAGCATCATCTTCTTCGCCGTTAGAATCTCCCGTTTCCATCTCACAGAGTGGAGGACATTCTGCCACAGGAAAAAAAAAAAACAATCCTCAAAGATTTCATCACAAAAACACATTTTTTTATCTTACCATCATCGGCCATTCTGACGCTTATTTCCAGCAAAGAAAACGATTGGAGTGAAGCACAGTTTTCAAGAATAAACTTGGGAGTAGAAAAGATGAAGCAAGTTCAAGTTATAGGAAGATTTTAAACTATTTTCACAGTACGGAGCGAGAAAAGTGAACAACACACATGCGAAAGCTATTAAGGATATTATCTCTGGCACGACAGGACAATCAACAAAACATGCGCCTAACGATCGCACAAGGGGACGAAAGCGCACATGTGTTTCTCTAGCGGGATGATGAGATTTTGACAGTTGATTCTATATCGAGAGAGAGAGAGCCCGCAGCTGGCGGGATTTAAGTGTGGGTTTGGTCCGTTTGGCTTTGTTTATAGCTAATGTAAAATTACCCGCACTCCACAAACTAATATTTATTGTGTGTTGCAGGATAATTTCTCAAAATGGGATTATACCATCTGCTTTCTGTTTATGGCCGTACGACTGCGCCCATTTATTTAACACACGGCGGCTATTTATCCAGGATTCGCTCCTCAAGCCGCTGCCATAAAATACTATCTAAGTTTCACACCTGTGTATAATCCTTAAGGGCGGAGTTGCATCGCGCTTATGAGCGGCGCGTTTCGACCGTCACCAAATGAGAATTTAACATAAGCGCGACAATATTTATTTATTTATTTATTTATTTCGTCAAGCCAGTGTAGACTACATACAGTGATTATTACAATGTTTACTTATACATACTATGCATTAATTCTATTCTTTTATAGCTTAATTTTTATTTGCTGCTTGGACATAGTGATGTCAATAGTTCCGCAATGCAAATTATATAGGCGCATCATTCCATTGATTGGGCCGAGGATTGGGCTATTTTTTGCATAGTTTGTTCTATATGATTTTTCAGAAAATAAATTCCGTGTTCGACAACCCTAATAAAAAATAACCATAAACGAACGATAACCCAAATCATTGAACTATTCCACAAATGGTTTGGATGATACCCAGAACACATCGTTAAGCAAATTAACCATACTATTTTTATTAGGGAAGGTGTGAATCTATGCGCAATGAAATAATGTCGTTGATGAAGAAAAGCATTGCAAATTGGCGGCGCTCCCTAGTATTTGCATATTGCAAAGCATGCAGCGCGCTTCATAAGATGGTAATGGAAATGCAGTCCAATTCAATTTACGTAAAGCATATAAAAGGAATTGCATAGACAGATTCTATGCGTTCTTCGTGTATGGAAATGTATGGATTCCATACTAGGTGGCAGTATTCCAGAATTGGCCTGAATAAAGCCTGGTACGCAGCTGAAAAGTAATGACGTTTTTACGTGCTACGGGATAGGACACGGAATGCTAAAGAAATTACTTTTCCTTACACAGCAAAAAAAAAATGTAATATCGATCAATGCAATTCAAGCTGATGTATGAAATAATGATGTAACAGCAAAAAGCAGATACAATATTACATCAATGGATGTAATTTTGTTCGCAAAATAGATGTAAATCGTACAAAGTTATATTACACAACCGATGGATTGACCTGGTTGCAGCAGTTTGGATGTAATATCCAACAACTTTTTTTTTTCTGTGTAGCATTTCTTGACCCAGTACGCAGTTCAAAAGAAATCGGTAAAGGAAAGATCGATTACATTAGTATCGTGATCGACATGAAGGTGACGAATTCTGAATGCAATTTAACTCTTCTTGCGGAATAATGGTCTGATCAAGTATTCCGTTAGGTAATTTTAACGTTTGTTGTAAACATGATGTTTTCAATGCATTTTAACAACATAAAACCGATAATTCTCGATTACTTTTTCGAAGGGACGTATCAGCTTTTGTAAACAATGGATCAAATGGATCGTCGATTTGTCGTAAACTGATAGCTCGCACACTAGCAGGTATGGGAAAATTTTCCAATCTGATGGTAGAGTTAGCATGCGTGGGCGAGCTACCAGTTACGATCAAATGCATTGGTTACAAAAGCTGATATGTCCCTTCGAAAAAGTAATCGAGAATTTTCAAATTAGACGACACCCTAGACGACACCCCCCTATGATCTCAAAATTTAGCAAAATACACCTCCCTATAGCTGTCAAATTTACTTTTAGGAATATTCCTCAAAAATTACTTTTCCGTTTTCTTTTCAGCTGCGTATCAGGCTTAAAGTCATTGTTTACAAAAGCAGTTCCGCCATTTTGAAATGATCTCAGTAGAAAAATATAATAGGTGAAAATCTTGCAGGAATCAGAACACCTTAAACACAAAGTGAATCCATCTTGGTTTAATGCTGCCGGCCCGTTTTATGCTAAGAGGAAAAGGTGACAATTGGCTTCTTCCTCTTTTATTTCTATCTCCATCTCTATCTCTATCTTATGCACATGAAATCGGCCAATCAGGAGCTGGTTCACGTTTGACAGAAAAGTGGTTCCTTTTCGCCCCCGTATTAGGTTCTGCAGCGTGACGTCACAAATGAACGCAGTGTTAATAGGCTGAACCTTTTTGACAGTTCAGTGGTACTGTTTACAAGCACTTAGTCGTTTTTTCGAAAAAACAAATTCTAAAATTTCAGAATTTTAACTTGAAAATTGTCGAGGAACAGCGCGGTGAAAGGATGTTGCTCGTGGACAATGCAGAAGTGTGGTTTACATCTCACTGCAGTCTGAAAAATTATCGAGAAAATCTACACAGCAAAAAAAGTTGTTGAATATTACATCGAAACTGATGCAACCAGGTCAATCCATCGGTTGTGTAATATCACATTGTACGATGTACATCGATTTTGCGAACAAAATTACATCCATTGATGTAATATTGTATCTACTTTTTGCTATTACATCATTATTTCATACATCAGCTTGAATTACGTTGATCGATATTACATTTTTTTTTGCTGTGTACCCAAGAAAAAAACGACTAAGTCCACGTAAACAGTACCACTGAACTGTCATCAGATTGAGGTTAACCCCGACGGTGCAAAACCTAATTGTCACCTCTTCTCTTAGGTTTTATGCTGCATTCAAAATCCCGCCAATCCGGCCAATTCCTGTTTGTTCCATCTCGCTTCCTAACTACGACCCTGCAATGTTTTCACATCAGCGAACTGTCATGACGTTTATGGGAAAAAATATCTGGAAAACATTCTTCACATGTGCGCACGTTTCTGTTTATTCGATTTATTCCGAGGATATTTTGTTGAAAATTGACCGATCTGCTTGTTGAAAATAGTGATAACGGTGGCGAGAAATCAATTGCAAAAGTGGTTTGCTTTCAGTGATTGCTAAAAGGAAATTCCAACTCGAGAAACGATGGTGTACGTTGAGCCATCATTTCCACGCGGCCGAAAGGTCGAAACCGATGAGGACAAACCGCGAAAAAAGTTTAAAAAATCGGCGGTATGTCTGTTGGTTGCGTTGTTTGGAGGATTGGAGAATTGGACTAACTGAGTTTCTATTTTTCAGGAATATGGTGCATCAACGGCAATCGAAGAGAAGCCTCATAAGCTTCGCCCGAAGGACCGACAGCAGACGCGTCTGGAGCAGATTGAACACGATAAGGAAGAACTGGAACAGAGTGTGAGTGCGGCTTCGCTGCAATTCAAAACGGCCCAGGAGGGAATGCTACTGATGGGATGTGTGTACAAGATTTCCAAAATGGATGTGAAAATCTCGCTGCCGGGAAGACTGTTCGGTACGGTTCCATTGATGTCGATTTCCGAGGCCTACACTACTCGACTGCACGGTTTGTTGCAGAATAGCATTGGAGGCACAGAGGAACGGTGTCCGGGGTTGGATGAACTGTACAAAGTAGGGGATTTGGTGTACATAAAGATTAAGGCTAAGTACATCAAGGACAAACGGCTCGGACTTACACTGGATCCGAAGGATTTGCATAGCGAATTTAACTGCAAACATCTGGTGGAAGGTCTGATCCTAACTGCGACTATTGAGGAAGAGGAAGATCATGGCTACCAAATGAACGTAGGCATAAAAAATGTGCGAGCTTTTCTTCCAACGCACAATGTAAGGAACAACACGATGATTGTTGGGAAAAACCTATTTTGTTCAATAGAGAAGGTAACTCAGGCGAATGGTTCCGCGACGATAATTTTGAAGGCATTCAAACCAACAGAACCCAGGAAGTTGGAAATAGTTCAAGCAAATATTGATTCGCTGGTACCGGGATCGCTTGTGACATTCACCGTTGAATCGATATTATCGAATGGTTTGCAAGGAACGCTGTTTGACGATACGGTCCCGGCGTTCGTCAACGAGAACATGTTAGAGAGGCCCTTGTCGAATCCGAAGAACTACGAAATTTTTAAGCAGCTTCAAGCACGCATCCTTTACGTGATGCCCCACACCAAACACGTATTTCTGACGTTGGCCCACTACGATGGGAACAGAGTGCCCGTAACCGATCCGATTGCTCCGGGAAAGGTGATAAAAGACGCCAAGATAATCCACAAATGTCCTAGTGGCATATGGTTCCAGATTGGCAAGAAACACAAGGCCTTGCTTCCGAGGTACATTCTGAGAAGCAAATACAACCAAAACTACGACGAACAAATTGTAATGGCCAAATATCAGATAAACTCCGTTCACACTGTCCGGGTAATGCGCTACGAAGCATTCGATCGGACCATTATTGTAACCGATGATGATAAAACAATCGAGACAAAGTATTTCACCTTGAACGATCTCAAAGTGGGAGACATTTATAACTGCCGCATCACCAAAGTGTTGGACAAGAAGCGAGGCTATCTGGTAGAGCTGGACAATATCAAAGGGATTGTTACGTCACACAACTTTGAACCTTCGAAAACCTTCACCGTGAACCAGACCATAAAGCTTCGTTTGATCGCAATCGAAGAGGATCGCAAAATGGCTCAATTCTCCAACCATTCTGAATATATGAAGAAGTCAGCCAAGCTAGTAACCGCCAGAGAAGACATCAAGCAAGGCCAGAAATACCAAGGGACCGTGATTTCCGAACAGGAAAAATACTTCCTGGTAGCATTCTGCAACAAGATCACCGCTATCCTGTTCAAGTTCTGTCGTTCCGTGACGCAGGATCAGAACCGAATTGCCCGATTGAAACCGGGCATTGTGGAGCGATTCACTGTCCACGAAGTGACGGAAAACGGTGAAAAAATAACCCTTGCCATTCCATTGACAGACGACAGTGAGAATTTGGGCCACGTTGTCAATGGTACCGTTACGGGAGTATTTGCCACCGGCGCCGATATCTACCTGGTGAAGGAAAACGAAACTGGGGTCATTCCTCCGGAGATGTTTTCCGATTTCCCATCGCACAATGCCATCTTCCAGAGTGTACTGAAGGAAGGCGAACAGTTGCGGGCGGTCAATGTGAAGGAGAACGTCTACAGCTGCCGGGATGTGGACTATTTCCGTCGGAAACCAACATTAACGAAGGACGTTAAGGTTGGACAGATTCTGCGAGCGTACTGTGTTGAGTTGTTGTCGACGGAAAAGAAAGTTTGCTTCCGGCTGGCGTTGAAGGATTACCACAGGAAGGTGGTACTGAAGATAAACAAACTGGCCGGGGAGGGAAATTACAACGTTCCAATCGAAGAGGGACAAGTGATTATGGCCAAGGTGATCAATCGAGTGATGAAACCGGAAGGGGTGCTGTTGGTGGTAGCACCCAAGCTTGAGGAGGTGTGTACGCAGGGTGTGAACGATGCCATGCGCTACATGCAGACCTATTTATGCGACGTGAAAGGACTCATTCAAAGGTACGTAATTGCCCATAACCGCAAGTCAGTCTCATCTGTAAAAAAAAACTGGAAATGAGAAAACGATGTTCGTGGATTCTCTCTAGGAGGATGGAGGAAGACGAAAAAATAGAGCGTGCGTACATGTTCGATGGCAGTAACTACACTGAACCAAAACATCCGCAATACTTTGAATGATTATTGCATTGCTCGAGCCCTTCAACAATATGCATTCGAATTTCTGATGATTTTCTTATGGTTGAATTCATCGTCAGATGATGAACATCCATATGACTGTCATCCATACAGGATGATTTTAGTTTGAAAATTGGTTATAAAGCATACGGCACTCAGACGAAAAACATTTAAGAATAGTGTGACATGCAAGAGCTTTTAATTAGATTTTCTACATTTCCATACGGAATAGCCATAATCAGTCATTCCATTATGAATACAAAATTTCTTCGTGGTAGAGGAAATTTCCTCTACCACGAATTAGCCAAAAATTGGTTTTCATCCTTTTCCTTTGTTCGTAGCAGCTCTGATAGCGATAGCTATGCTTTCACCTCGTTTGTCAGCAAATGACGTTCGATAGAATTATTTACATCATCGTTTTGGGGCCGAACCAATACCATATGTATTTCTATTTAGTATCACAATCATTCTGCATTTCAACTGAAGGCCCTATCCCTTCTCATAACAATTTTCATCCTGTATTCGAGAGGAAAATCATCTGATTTCAAAACAACCGTCATCCGGTTGCAGCTATCATTCGAAAAAGCGATTTCGATGTTTCGTTTTGAATGGTCTGAAATTTCATTCGATCAGAGAATGATCTTTGTATACAGTGTCCATGGCCTGGAAGTTCCGCACGCAGGTATACTGCTGGAGGAGCACGATTTATTCGAAGAAGACGAACTGCAAGAGCTGCCGAACGACAAGCAGGCGAAAAAGGAGAAGAAGAAAAAGTAGAAGGATCTGTGCCTAGGGGCACGAACGGAAGCTTGACGTAGGACCGCTAGTGGACGGAACAAATATGTTGATCATTTAGTTCTTAACTCTTTCCGTTTTTGAATTGGTGGCCGACTGGATGACGGCGACCTAGTCATGCTTCTTATAGCGGGAAGCCTTTTCTTCGGTCGATGTGGGTGTTTTCTTCGTCGTCGTCGTCGTGTTCGTATTGATGCGATGCGTGCTGTTCCACTCATACGTCGTGTCCGACGCTTATCCGTCCGTTGCTCGAAAGCAAATGACGGAGAAAACTAGTAGTAGTAAAATTATTTTTATTTCTGTTGATTATGGTACATTGATTTATCATTTTAATTGATTAGCCTACCTTGCTCTTCATCTTTGTTTAATTTGATATTCTAATTTAATATTTGCGTTTTTCAACTAGTTTACAGAATACCCCTTTGGGGATGTGTTTTATCTGACTTGAAAAAAGTGATAACCTACCTAACTACGAGTATAACTTAACCTAACGTGCTAGATCACGTATGATCTGATGATTTGATCTCAGACAGGTGTCTCTGAACCTTTCCAGGATGAACAGCCAGGAGGTGGATCTCAGAATTTCTAGTCCGCGGGGGACTGCTTAGGACCATCCTAAGGATCTTGTTCTGGATCCTTTGGAGTTTAAGGTGATGTCATATTGCGCAACTCTCCCAGATTGGCATACCGTTCTCGATTACAGGAAGGATGATTTGTTTGTAGACAGCAAGCTTATTTTTCAGGGACAGGGTTGACTTCCTGTTGATAAGTGGATACAACGATCTTATCAAGATGTTGCACTTGGTTTTCGTTTTGTTAACGTGCTCCCTGAAAAGCAGCTTGCTGTCTAGTGTTAGACCGAGGTACACGACCTCTTTGGACCATTCCACCACTGTGCCGTTCAGGCAGATCTTGTTATTCTCCGACGGAACAAGTCTGGGAGATTTAGGGTGTGGAAAGATAATGACCTGGGTCTTTGCCGCGTTGATACGGATCTTCCAGCTGTTGAAATATTCAGACAGGACGTCCAGGCCTCTCTGAAGTTTGGCAGTCAGAGCTCCGATGACCCTACCCTTGTAGACGATGGATGAATCATCTGCGAACAGAGACAACGATCCACCATCAGGGCGAGCCGGCATATCGGAGGTGGGCAGGTTGAATAGGATGGGGCCAAGGATGCTTCCTTGTGGAACCCCGGCACCGATGTTGAAAGCATCCGATGTGATGCCATTCAGAGAGACTCGGAACGTCCTGTCTGATAGATAGTTGTTTATTATCTTCACTAGGAAGATTGGAAGACCGTACTGCTGCAATTTGAACACCAGGCCATCATGCCAGACATTGTCGAACGCTTTTTCAACGTCCAACAACGCCATGGAAGATGTTTTCGATACAGACTTGTTCCGTCTGAGAATGTTTGTTACTCGAGTCAGCTGGTGGATGGTCGAACGACCTTTCCGAAAACCAAACTGTTCCTCGAGTAACAAGTTGTTTTTCATCGGCAGATGTTAGGAGCCGGTGGTACACTGCTCTTTCGAACAGTTTTGATAACCCTGAGAGAAGGCTGATTGGTCGATAACTTGAAGGAGAGGACGGATCCTTCCCAGTTTTCCGGATGGGTATGACTTTAGCTGACTTCCAACACGAGGACCAGATGGTTGTAGAATCTGGAACTCAAGTGTTTGAGTTCCATATTCAGGATGTTGTCGAAACCTGGGGCCTTCATGTTTTTAGATGATTTGATATAGGCCAACAGTTCGTCAGCCGTAATCTCGGATTCCTCTGGAAAAATGTTAGGAATCTGAAGAAGATTGGTTGCATTTTCAGCAACCTCAGATTCATGAGGGCTGACGATGTTTTGTCCGAGATTATGGGAGCTGACGAAGTGTTGACCTATCGCGGCAGCCTTCTCTTCAGGAGTTATCAGATGAACCACTGGGTCGCCAGAACGATCCAGTGGGGTCAGTGGTGGAATGGGCCTAGGCTTGTTTTTAAGAATTTTTGTAAGTTTTCAGAAGGGCTTAGCACAGTCTGGGAGACAGCGGATCTTACTAGCAAAATCGTTATTTCTGAGATCCACCATCCTGGCCTGAATGATCTTTGTTAATCGATTACAATTGGTCTTCAAGTTAGGCAGGCCAGTACGCTGGTACTGCCTACGAATGGTGTTACGGAGTCTAATGAGATCTTTGGTAGGGCTGTCAAGGTTCAGAGTGTTACTCACCTGTCTGGATACTGGCACGTGTTGTTCCCTGGCCCGGGAAATCGCCTCCTCGATGGTTTGTAGACGGAGAAAACGATTTGGCAAGCGTTTTTATTATCGATGCTTTTCTCCTCTCTTCCGATCAACCGTTGGTCGATCAACCGAGCATTGAGCTCGCTCTTGTGAGTGTGCGCAATGTGTCGTTTGTTCGATTTGCGCTCTACCGTGTTTGTCCGTGTTTGGGATTTTTCGTTACAGGTCTGAATTTTGATTTTTTTAATATGACCCCCAGTATAGAAATTAAAGACGTAGTCCTAAGTAGTCAAAAGTTGAGGGAGAAGCGGAGTAAGCAGGATAGAATATGCAAATCGCTGCTTCTCTGGCTTATCTCGAGGATTATTGACACCCGGAGGAGAAGAAGACGCCCAAGGAGATCTGAGATGCGCTGAAGCGTGTTTTTGAACAACGAAGCATTGCTAGTCGGATTCACATGAAGCGTCAGATGTTGAGTCTGCGTTTTGAGGGTGGCTCGCTACATGAACACTTTTTGTGTTTTGATCGGCTCGTCAGCCGGTATCGATCGACTGGAGCGGAAATGGAGAAGCTTGATATCATTTGCCACTTGCTGCTCACGTTGGGACCGTCGTTTTCTACGGTAGTAATTGTCACCATACCAGAAGACAATTTAAGTATGGAATTCGTCAAATGCTGCTTTCTTGACGAAGAGGTCAAACGAAAAGGAATAGATGTCAAATCGTCCATGACAAAAAGTGATTCGGCTGCGTTTTCGGGCAGGAAGAAGACAGTGATGAGGTGTTTCGGCTGCAAGCAAGAAGGCCATAAGCTGGCTGAATGCCCGAAGAAGAGGGTGTTTGTTTTGTAGGAGTGAGCAGTGGCATCGTCTCGCCGGATGAGTCCAGTCAAGTGCAATGGTTTATCGATTCCGGCTGCTCGGACCATCTGGTGAATGACAATGCGCTATTTGACAAACTGGAGTCACTGTCATTCCCAGTGGAGATCGCCGTTGCAAATAACGGAGAGACGATTTTGGCGAAGCATACAGGGACGGTAAGAGTGATGGCCCTTGTCAAAGGTAAATATACTGAATGTTCTGTAAACAACGTTCTTTTTATACCTGAGTTGCGGTGCAATTGATGCGGTGGATCCATCGTGGATCGGAACTTGTCGCGTGTGGCTGCTCGCGGTATGGAAAACTGTATCGTCTAGATTTCTTTATGGACAAGTACGGCGTGAGTGAATCACTTTTGTCTTGGGGACGCATTTCGGAGAATCTTGAAATGTGGCACTGCCGGTTCGGCCACTTGAATACGAAGAGTATCGAAAGACTGATTCTGGAACACATGGTTAGCGGTCTGAAATCGGATAGTACGAACATGAAAACCGTTGTGTGTAATTGGGAAGCAGACTCGAAAACCGTTCGTGGTGCGAGACACGAAACGAGAAACGATCGTCGGGAGTGCTGAAGTTGATACACTCCGACGTGTGCGGGCTAGTGTCGCCGGTTGGCATAGAAGGGGTGAAATACTTCGTCAACTTTAATCATGAACGGAGTCATTTTACCATGACGTTTCTGCTTGAGACAAAGGACGATGTTTTCGAGTGATTTCGTCAGTACGTGGCTCATGTGACGGCCAGACAGTGTGTCGCCTTCGCTGTGATAACGACGGCAAATATAGGAGCACAGTGTTCGTACGGAAAAGGGCATCCAGGTGGAGTGGACGATTCCCCACACACCAGAGCAGAACGGAGTAAGCGAGCGAATGTACCACACTGTAGTCGAAAAGGTGAGGATAGACAAAAGATGTTGGGGGCAAGCAGTTCAGACGGCGGCTTACCTGGTAAACCATAGTCCTTCAAATGCATTGGATTCCAAGCGCGAAGAAAATAGTTCATTCGCGATGTGGATTGTATTGAAGGTGATACTTTTCAATCGGATGGAAGACAATCTCGTACTAGCGGCTTCATTCAGGTTCCGGTTATTCGTGACGTGATGATCAGCAAAATAGTGATGCGGAGGAGAAGAGCTTGAAGATTCGATGCTTGATGATTCGGCGTCTGACGATTCGGGTGATGAGTTCGGAAGCTTTAAAGAGGACGAAACAGATGAACCTGAGGACCAGCTGTGACACGGTCTGAAACGCCCTCTGGTAGCAATACGCAAGGGAGGTCAAAGCTTCAGCGAACTAGCGTGGCACGACGATTTTAAGGTTGAGTATGCTGGGTACGCTCTCAACGCGATAAGACTATATCGATAACGTGCCAATGACGGTTTGCTGATGCTAGGAAACGGGACGACTGGGGCAAGTGGAATTCTGCTATGCGAAAAGAAATGGATTCTATGTCGAAAAACAGAACGTGGTATTTGATGGAATTGTCACCGGGGCGCACTGATGTGACCAATAATTATGTGTTCCGGATTACACGAGGACTGAATGGTGAGCCTGACCGCTACAAGGCTCAGCTTGTGGCGAGAGATTCGCTTTCGACTACACGGAAATTTACTCGCCCGTGGCTAAGCTCGATACACTGCGGACGGTTTTGGCTCTAGCAAATCACAACAAGATGGTGGTCCACCAGATGGACGTTACAACAGCTTTTCTCAATGGCAAGCTTAACGAGGTATATGTATAATGGTGCAACCAGAGGACTTCAAGCAAGGAGATTGTCTGGTGTGTCGCCTGGACAAATCTTTATACAAACTTAAACATGCGTCGAAATTATGGAACGACAGATTTGACAACTTTATAGTGAAAAGACTGGGATTTACCAAGAGCGCGAACAACCAGTGTTTGTACTCGAAGAGGATCGGTAAGGACACGGTGCTCCTGGTAATTTATGTTAACGACGAGGTTATCGCTGCATCAACCCTGCAAGCAGTCGAAACTGTGAAGTGATGTCTGGCAACGGAGTTCCAGATTACCGACGGAGGATAGATACGGTGCTTTCTTGGAATGCACATTGAGCACGATGTGGAAGGAGGAGTTATGAATATCAGCCAGAAGCAGTTTTTGAATGATTTGCTCCGTAGGTTTGGAGTCTGTCACAACCCTGTGCCTTGTGACGCACCTCTCCTACCACAACAACCTCGGTGGCAGAATCCACCACAAAAACCTCGCCACCAGAATCCAACTCCGACCGTGGTTTCCAGCTGTCAAACGCGATGATGTGGAAGTTTTTTCTTGGCAGGGCAAAAGAGTGAACAACTTCCATGTGGATAGGTGAGGTTTTTTGTGAAAAAGAGTGAACAACTTCCATGTGGATAGATTAAATACTAGGGCGGTGTTTTGCAAACTTATGAACTACTTACAAACTATACTACTAACTACACAAGAGACACAGCTACACATAAATAGTACGGATTGTTGCGAGTACGGACAGATTTATTACTAGAAGAACAGTAAACGTAAGTAGCCATCAACATAAACTCGTATATTAAGAAAAACAAACACATCTAACAAGTATCCTAAACATAAAGATACACACGAATTGTAGCTTATAGCCCAAGCCCAAACTAATGTATGTATTTCTTATTAATTCTTCCCGAAGGGATTTTTTAACATCCCGTGAAATAAATGTTAGAGAATTGGAAATCTTTTTCTTCCTGTCGGTTGCTCGCACAACAGAGTCTGTCTCTACGCCAATGGAAGTACGGCTTAAGCTGGAGAAGGGGACAGAAAAGAAGCGAACGAGGCAACCGTATAGGGGACTGGTTTTAATTGTAATTGTTCAGGGCATAAACCGAGCCTTCCACTAAGTCGGCGTATCTAGGGACCAATCCCTTAGTCTACACTTACTGTCCTTCCCGTTGCACTCGTCAGCTCGTACGATACTCTAGACTCACATGGGTGGTGGTATCCGGGCCCTCACTCGGGTAGGCGCAAGTGTCCGGCAGGTTCTGGTACATTAACTTATCTCTATGCATGGTTTAAGTACTACTAATACAAAACTCACCTTGTTCTACTGTGATGATTTCGCTGAGAGTTTATGAAGGTTAATGATCTCTATGATGTGTTTGCTTCGATTGCATTATATATAGTGTTTGAAGGTCATGGGATTGCAACTAAATAAACGAAAATTTAAAAGAATAGTTATGCAGAAATTTAAGTTTCATTTGTATGTGACCCCCCACCCCTTTACAGAGAGGGGAGGGGTGTAGAACCATCATAAGAACCTTTCCGGGCTCCAAAAATCCCTGCATACAAATTTTCACGCCGTTCCGTTCAGACAGATAGACAGCAATTCATTTATAGGGGGAATTGGTTGTAATGTCGGCCTAAATGCCCCTAACTTGGGCCCATGCATAAATTCAGCAATCGACTAAATTTTCAATAGCGATAAAAAATATCCACAAGTACCAATGGGACCAATAACATCTAGATAAAATTGATAAATATCAGATTTTTAGTGATGGGCACAATCTAAGATCCAGAGGCCAACATTAGAGCCATTTCCTTTTTATATTAATATAGATTATCTTCAAATTCACTGTCCGATGGTACCATATCGCTTATCATGGAATCAAGCAAGCCATTGTGGGAAGCCGTTATGCTTAAAGGGTAACGAAGTATCGACAGGGAAAGAGTGTTTTAAGATAAGATATTGGAAATGAGTCTGAATATCTAGTTTTTTTTTTGCTGTAAATATTAATAGCTCACGAAAAGCGGTTGTGACATCTGATGAAAATAAGTGCAAAAGCTTTTGACTAAAAGCGAAGTTACTAATTTGCTATCTACAAAAAATTATCGAAACTTCTTGGACTTCTTTCAGAACTACATACATACATACATACTCTCCACATATCTGGTAGTAACCAAAATGTTTGTTCTTTGTAGAATTTGGTTAGGTCAGATTTAGCTGGAAAGTCTGAGATTTCCTTATTCACGTTTGAAATTGTCCTTCTGAAAAATCCTATCCTTACAGAAGTCAGACTCCAATTAGCATTTCGCCACGGTAAACCAATGTCGGTCATCGGTAGACTGGAACTGACCCACGTGGCGCCAAAGGTACACGCGATTATAGTCATATCGTGGACTGTGCTTCTCGTCATCGACGAACATGTACTCGCCGGACCAAGCGTTCCTTATGCGATATCCATCTCGGAGCTTGTTCGGATCGGGAATGAATTGCCAGTAGCCCTCGTACGGTACAATTTCCTTTTCCTTCACCCATGTGAAAACGTACCTGCGGTAGGCATCACGTGCGGCAGTGTCCGATCCAGCAAACAACCATTCGTTCACGTATTTGTTTCTTAGAGCGTACGATTGATTGAACGAATCCTTGGTGTAGACGAACCACTTAGCCGTTTCCCATTTTTTGTTCTTGTTGGTCGCAAACACATACCTTTTTTCATTCGGTTCAAAGACGTAATGTTCGTCCGCTGTGATGTAGCCTTTGGATTTCTTGCTGAAAATTGTCATACAGTTGTGCAGCGATGGATCTAAGGTCACGCGATTTTGACACTCGCACTGACACATGGTAGCCGATCGCTGGGCCGCCTGGCTTGCGTCGAAAACGAAAACACTCAAAACAAACATCAAGGCCCAACAGAGACCCATTTTGACTAATGAACACGTTGTTCTGAACTCGCGGTCTATTTAAGACGAACCTTTTTCACACAAACACCAGAGGTGGTTCGAATCGTTAGAACAAACCCCAATTCGACACAGAGCTAATGGAATCAATTTGATATCGTTTCAGATTTAAATCCCGCGATAAGCCATTCGCTCAGTACACCGTTGGACAGGAGGTGATGTGCGTGGTGGAGAGCTTGATCGACGGTAGCGATCAGATGGTGGTGCGACTTGGCAGCGACGAACCATCGGCTACCATGGGAATTGCAATCAAAGATCCCAAGAAAGATGATTACACCGTTGGCGATCAACTTGAAGGTCGCATCGTTTGGGTTGATGTAGAGAAGCAGTTAGTCCACGTTTGCATCGTACGGAAGTATCTGAAACACTTGATCGATGAAGAGCAGGCAAAACTTCCGCAGGAATTGTTCGATAGTGATGTAAGGCGGGATTTTGTAACGTTGTTCCAAAACGAATACGTTGCAGTGGGTTGTCTCTCGAAAGTGGACTGTCCGCTGGTTGTCGTACCGGTAAAATGTCATTACAACGACTTCCAAGTGTCGGCATTGGGGAAAAAAGCACAGGTTGTTCTGGTTCGGGCATCGGAAGGGTTATTACAGGGAATGACCGAGGAATCCTACGACAAGTTTAAAGACTTTAAGAAATCGATTACGACTAAGAAGGACAAGGGGGACAAGGACTGCTGGCTGCCGGATGATTATGAGGAGCCAATACTGGAGGATCCGGAAGAATCCGACCCGGAAGAAAATGTCGTCGAGAGCCACAGCGATTCCGGAATTGATAAAGGTGAGTGCTTCGATTTCAACTGATTGCTAGGAAAAGTTCCACTCTACGCAATGTATCACTTATCAATTTTTGTTTTATGTTTCAGACGAAGGTGCAGAACAACCAGAACCTAAAGAGTCGAAAAAGAAATCCAAGAAAAAGCAAAAGAAAACAGGGGTATCATCTGAGGATCTGGTCAAGCTAAAGACATCCAACGCAGTAGCATCACCAGCCAAGGTGCTAAAAGTCAAGAAAGAGAAGAAAAAAGCTACTACCAAGAAACTTAAGTCCGGTAAACCCTTCGTCATAAGCCAGTTGGATGGAGCGGATGACTTCGTAGCAAAGAAAAACAAGAACAAGAAGCATTTTTTATCCAAGCGCCCGGCTGCCAATGCTCCACCTAACGTAGCGAGCAAGCAGTCGGGTTCCAAGAATGGGCAGCTCGAGAAGAAGGACAAACTCCACCAGCTTACCCAGCAGACAAGCTTCAAAAGTAAGACAAATAAGAACAAGATCACCCTTCCAGTCACCGTTCAGAGACAGGACGTGAAGAAACAGCCGGAAGGCGTCAAGGTAGTAAAAGCTGCCTCGAAAAAGGAAAAACTACCCGGAGCGGATGGCTTTTGGAGCACGAACCCATCGGTTCGGAAGCAAGATTCGGAATCCAGCGATGATGATGAACAACCGGAAGTGCAAATGAAGAAGCGTCTCAACGCAAAGGAGCGTTTCGAGGCCATCAAACAGGCGGAGAAACGAATCCGTGAGATCGAAGACGAACTGGCAGATGAGTCGATTGATCCTCACACGCCCGACCAGTTCGACCGTGTGATGCTAGCTCAACCGAACAGCAGTCTCCTGTGGATTCGATATATGGTATTTCATATGGAGTCGGCTGAAGTGGAGAAGGCTAGAGCCGTGGCACGTCGGGCACTGAAGACCATCAACTTCCGCGAGGAAGACGAACGCCTCAACGTGTGGATTGCACTGCTTAATCTTGAACTTCGATATGAAACCGTTGAAACGTTCAAAGAGGTACTGCAAGAAGCCGTTCAGTACAACGATCCATTCAAGGTGTACTCGAGGGTCATCGAAATCGCAATTGATTGCGGCAAAACACCGGAAGCATTGGAGATAATCGACATTTTGCAAAAAAGGTTCCGTAGACAACCAGAGATGTGGCTTCTGATTGCCGATTCTTACTACAAAATTGGACATTCGATCAAAGTGAAGCCTTTGCTAAGTAAGGCATTGAAATCGCTGGAGAACAAAGAACGTAAGTAAACTCTGATCGCTCAATTTGGCAGGCCTATCTAATTCGTGAGCTTACCTTTCAGACATCCCACTGATTGTAAAGTTCGCCTTCCTGTACAACCGCAACAGTGAACGGGACGAGGCGCATATCCTGTTCGAGCAGATCATCACGTCTTATCCGAAGCGAACCGACATCTGGTCCCAGTACGTGGACATGCTGGTAAAGGATGGGTTGATCGATGTCGCACGTCAAACGTTGGACCGAGCCATTGCCCAGCGGCTGCCGATGAAGAACATGAAAACACTGTACACCAAGTATGTGGCATTTGAGGAGAAACATGGCGATCGGGCAGCTGTGAAACGCATCAAACAAGCGGCGGCTGATTACGTTCAAACGCAGCTCAGCTCGATAGGGGTGGCCAACAGCAGCGGATGAAGTTTTTATGGTGTTATTAGTAAGATACAACAAGAATATGTATACAGTAGAGAGGGTGGTTAAATAAAATCATCTGATCGATACTGATAACAATTCAGTTAGTTAATTTACCGAAAGCACCCGCAGCAGAGTGAGAGATCGTTTATAACCTTTAGGATGAGATGCACTGAGCCCGGTGCAGTGATTAGCATCCATGCCTCTCACCCTCAAGGACACAAGTTCAATTTTCACCTCCAAACAAGTCATACATGATCTAAAATTTGTTAAAATGTGTTACCATCTAACTGAGATATGATGCGTATATTTCTAGCGGATTCTAGTCCATGTCCACCTGAACGAATTTGTCAAAAACAGTAACATTTTACCAACGAATCATCTTCGATTATACCTTATCGATACGTCAAGGTAATGCATGCGGAATAAATACATTTTCACAATTTCTGCATAGAGGCATCACTAATAGTGATGCACCGAATATACGGTCGCTATTATAGTATTCGACCGAATACTTAGGCCGAATATCATGCTTTGCACTCTCGAAATTCCGCTCAAACACCTTGTCGGTTACTTGTTAAGCTGAGAAAACGCCAACAAAAGGGTTTTGACCACCTGAATAACTTTGTTGAAGATTGCAATCTTCCATCTAATGTTTATCGAGTTGTTGAAGAGCTATGAGATGCTAGCACCACCTGGAGAGCGATTTCTGAACTAAACTATCTACCCGACTATATCTACCTCAACCTAAACCGATTCGCTTTGCCGAAGAAAGTAACCATTTATCTAGTTGAGGTCGGGATATCGACTAAAGAAGAACTCAAGTTATAAGCTACCTTGTGAGAGAATTCCAAACTGTATAGTTCATTCATAGAGAAACAGGCGTAACTCTTCATTCTGGATCATCGTTTGCGCATTTAACGATTGGTTTGAATTTTGAATTAGATAGGGTCTAGTAGACCCTCTCTAGTTTGAATGTTATCGCGAACTACTCGCCACATCGGCTCACTTTGACGTTTCTATATATTCGGTTTTCTTGTATGCAACATTGTTTGCGAATCAGTGAGCAAGCTTGTTTTCCGCGAGATGTCGTTACTGAAGTCCTATATTTAGCGGTACTATGTTTTGAAGATAATTGTAGTTACGTCTGTTTGTCTGTGGTTCATTCATCATTCAAATGAGCATTGTGTCCGGTACAATTTTCTTAAATACTGCAATCTTCTATCTAAACTCCGACCTAAATGGACAAAAAATCGAATGGCTCTCTAGTGCTAGTTTGTCATTTTGGTTTTCGGTTTCACGTATTACGACACGAAGTAGCTTATGAAGAGTTGCTTGCAGACAACCCGAGTGCATCGTTCTTAGCTGTTGTCGAAAGCTGATAGCTTCTCATTTTTCTTCTTCGCATTTCAAGCTTGTTGCTTATCGCATATTAGCTTATTGCGTGCTCTCAACTTAGTGTTCTAAATGCACTTCCACAGTTATTAATCTAGAGCTTTCGATGCCAATACCTATGCATGAATTTGTATATTGTGTGGCAAGCACAATCATACTCTATGCCCAGGGAAGTTGAGAAATTTTCCAACCCGAAAGATTCCCTCGACCGGACATCGAACCCTCTTCCAATGTTCCAAGATAGGATTCTCTCAGTCTATTGGTACTACTCCTAGACTGAGGAAAAATTTGGAAATTTTCTTCATGTTCCGGCAGATGTTTTAGGCTTTCCACAGGAAAACATGAGGCAAATTTACTCATCGCTGAGTTCCTGAAGATTTTGCGATTATGCGTAAACTGAACGCAAATTTTGGTTGATCCGGAAGATCATAACCACTAAGGCACTATTCTGATTTTCCATTTTAGCCAACAAACATATTCTTGAATACCAGCAGGATCCTTGCAAAAACGATACCGAATTGAATGTTCTAACTGTGGATAAAGTTTTGGAGCATCTCAGATGAATCAATTTATCAGGAAAAGTGTTCTGCTTCCCATGTCTCAGTATGTGATAACTAGATTAAATAGAAGATGAAACAGGAAGATATTAATATGATAACGATGGATTTTCCGCAGATGGGATGTCTTTCTTTCATAACACTTGTGTTCGATTTCACCGTAATATTTTAACCTTTTTGGTCTACCACCAAGAATTTCTTTTTATGGACATTGGTGGAGAGCTGAGGCAGCAAGTTCTTCATCAGAATTCCCAATCTCCAATCCACCAGGTCTTGCTCCGCGCTTGTTGTCCTCCTGCTCCTTTCCTTCGATTATTTTTTCTGGGCGTCTCGATCACGAAATGCAGAAGTGGGAGGAATTGAGAAGAGGTCATCAATTTGAGGTATTTTGTGTCTTAGCTTCCTATTCTGCAACAGTTCACTCGGTGCTCTTCCCGTCACGCTATGTGGTATGTTGTTATATAAAATCAGGTAAATGCTCAATTCCGCTTTCCAGTGCCCATATAAAGCGTTTGAGATCTTGAGGCGCTTCATCAATGACCTGTTTTGGCGCTCCACCTCGCCATTGGCTTGCGGCCAGTAAAGGGGTACTGTGTTTTTGAATAATCCCCAACGTATCACAAAATACACCAAATTCTCTCGAAACAAATTGCTTGGAATTATCCAGGATGATTTTTCTTGGAAAAGCCCAAAAATCTTCTTCAGACGTGCATTTTTTTCTTGTGCAGTTATCTTGGTCATAATTTCGAGCTCTATATATATATATAGGCTGTAATAGTCGTTGACCACAAGAATATATTCGCCACTGGGCATAGGACCATAGAGGTAACTCTAAGACCAGAAGGTCCCGAAGAAACGAGCTCAACTTTTTGGCTCAGCTCTGGTACTATCTTCGGTCCCAAGCTAATCGATTCACCCCTCGAAACATAGGAAAATCCACTAACCCCTCATTTTATCTGTCAAACTTTCATAGCGAATCAAAACAAACAAAGTGTAGTACTAGAATTTATACTAGAATGGGGTACGTTAGTCGATTTGCTTGGGACCAATAGGCTAGTCAAGTAGTGAGCCAATTTGAAATCGTTAGTTTCGTATTGATTGTTGATAGGACCAAGAAAATCAATTGCCAATTGAATTTTCCCAAACAAAATTTAAAATTCTCCCGTAAATCCAGATCATAACCAAATTCGTTCAGATTTGACACCGTTGTTGGGGACCTCAATACACATCGGAAGAGCAGTGGATAACATTGGGTTGTGATTCACTATACAAACTTGACCCATAACATCATATCCAAAAATTAATCATTAGCCTCGTTATTAACCAATGGCCAGTAGCCATAGATTAAAAATCTCCTTAATAAAGAATTTAAAAAAAACCAATGGCCAATTGAGTTACAAAACACATCAAATTTAATCTCTACCACTGTCTAAAAGGAAATTTTATCAGCTTTTCAAAAATCATATCCTTATGTTTCGGAAACTTACGAAAATATGTTTTTTGATATCAAATTCTGATAAACTGCACAAGTCGGTTCGATGCAATGACAAGCGTGGCATCAAAGTAGGCTATTCCCATCGATAATTAAGTTATCGCATGCGACATTGCTGAATTTGAGGTTAAAACACATTTGGTTACTTCCTTGGTAGTACCCATTCAGGGACCATTCCCTAATTTGGCCAGTTTAGTTAGCCTTGAAACTGCTTGAAAGAAACATTTGGTGGCCTTTGACAAGACCTTTCAGAATTTTGTCCGGGTTTTGTTAGGAATCGCCCCACTGTGCATTGTGGAGCAAACGCTCTAAGAAGCGACGAAATTACTCCTGATAAATTTGGGCTTAGTGGAATACCTGTATAAAGAGAGAGCGAAGGAATAGTAATTTCCATTTAATTCCACTACCTTATTTGCTTATCCTTGACAGATACGCGTATTTCGTCTACAATGTGCAGACTTCTTCAGTGTCTTGTACATTACTCGTTTATGTGTCCTAGGTAGTAACGTGAAAAACCATGTGTGTCCATTTCCTTGATCCCTGTTGAGTAAAGTTGAATCAACAATCAATACGAAACTAACGATTTTAAATTGGCTCACTACTTGACTAGCCTATTGGTCCCAAGCAAACGATTAACGTACCCCATTCTAGTCGAAATTCTAGTACTACACTATGTTTGTTTTGATTCGCTATGAAAGTTTGACAGACAAAATGAGGGATTCGTGGATTTTCCTATGTTTCAAGGGGTGAATCGATTAGCTTGGGACCGAAGATAGTACCAGAGCTGAGCCAAAAAGTTGAGCACGTTTCTTCGGAACCTTCTGGTCTTAGAGTTACCTCTATGGTACAGTTGCTGCGGTGAGGGTTGTAAATAATCACTTTTGTAGAATTCTCGCTTTTTTTTATCGATGATTGCCTGGATTGTGATCTCCTTGTATCCTTTGAGTCTCGCTGTTTCTAAGATGTACTGTAATTCGTAAACCTTTCCTGTATCGCTAAGTGCAAGAGTCTGCATCCGATCAATCATGTGGTGGAAGGCGGGCATTTTCTGCTGGAACGAATGGTTGGAAATATAATGGGGTAAATCTTTTGGTGCTTGTCCTGTAAATTTCATTTTCAAGCGAAGAAGATGATGACGATTCCCTGATGACTAGAAGATCGAGGAATGCAAGTTTCCCGTCTTTTTCTACCCCGTGAGTGAATTTGATATCCTTGTGAATTCTGTTGATCTCATCTAAAATTTTTGGAAGGGCTTCCCGTTTAACTTCGATGAAGATATCGTCAACAAACCTCCACCAACGATTTGGTAATAGTCCTTTCTTCTTCAGGATTGTCTCCAAGTTGGCCATAAAAAGGAAGGGAGATAGTGGGTTTCCCATTAGGGCTCCTTTCGTCTGCTTTTAGAAGTTACCTCGGAAAGAGCAGTAGTTCTCCTCCATAGAAAGGCGGATCAGCTTAAGGTACGTCCGAACTTTGTTTCTCCATGCTGCATCATCTCGTTGTGTTAATAGCCAGTCCTCCTTGACCGGTACGCTGGGAAAAAAGAGCTGTGACGTCAAAAGATACCATAATCTCGTCCTCGTTGATGTCTCCTGAAGATTGTAGTTGCTGGGC